TTTAAGTCAGAATTTAAAGGAAGAAGAAAATCAAAACCTGCAGAAAGTAAACATACGTTTCAGCCAGCTCTCACAGAGAGAGCAGGAATACAATTCTGTTTTAAATAGGTCATTATCATTTCTCTTCTTGCATGTTCTGCCTCATTTACTACTTCCTTCTGATATTTCTGAAAATTAATCTGGGCCCCATCTTCAAATACTTTCCATTGATATCCCACTTTCCACAGGAAAGTAAGTGCCTCCTGTTCACTGAGTGAAGTGGGGAGGATGGAATGGTGGAAGAACCTAAAAGCCAAAGGAAACTTGCAAGTGAGTGAATGAAGATCACTGCTTGGCCACATGGTTTGATTCCATTTACACTCTTGAGGTTTGGGTTATGCAGTACCCCATGAGTGCTAGCAGCTTGCTGTGCTTAACTGGAACCTGCCCTGTGCATTACATAGATGTTTGCTGATATTGTTGAAGCACACATGAGGAACCCAAGTTTCATTTGTACTCAGAAAATAAGCACCCTTCCTTCCCCAGCAGGACCATTTCTGACCTGTCGTCACCAGTCTTAGCCCTTTCTCTACGCCCTTGCATTGCCCCCCTCCCCCCCCCCCCCCCCCATTTTCTTATCATAAAAACAGCCAGGAGAAAGGGATCATTTGAGATGTCTGCACTCCAGCCTGCTCAAAACAGGATCAACACTGAATTCAGACCACATTGCTCAGGGCTTTATTTATTAAGGTGTTGGAAATCTGTAGGAACAGAGTCTTCACAGCTCCTCTGGGTAACCTGCTTCAGTGGCTGACTGTCCCCATGGTGTCCCTTCACTCATTACTTGCTCAGATTTTGGCTAACACATAGCTCATGCTAAGGTCTGATGTATGCTAGGATTAGCACCATTAAGTCAAAGCAAAGACAAGATATAGGCAGGACACAGTGCCCAGAAAGGGCTAAAGGTCATTATACAGCCCTTATCACCTGCAGCTTGCTGATTCTTGCAGACATTGTGCATTTCTTGTCTGGCTGTTTTTTCATAAATTGCTAACTCACAGAAATAGCGTAGACCAAACTTCCAAGCTGGGGGGTATAAATATGTCAGCTTCCCCAAAAGGTTTTGAAGTAGATCGAACAGCAGCTGGACTCCTGAAGCTTTCATGCTTCTCAGTGTGATGCAGGAGACACCTGCACCATGTGGAGAAAGGATGAAGCTGCTCTCACCGGAAGCTGGGTAACCGTTCTGCTCATAGGTGCATAAGTTTCAAGCTATGAGTTACGAATTAGAGAGCTTGGGAGTTAGAAACCTCATGACTTAAGTGATTAATCAGTGAATTCACGTTAGACTAGTCTTTACAAACGGGACTGAATCCTTGTTTGTCATCTTTCCTTCCCAATAAGCTCATAAAATTAAGTTTAATTTACAGAGTATGTTGACCTGTGAATTTAAGAGATCCAACTGGACCATGACATCATGGTAATTGTTTTCCTTATGTCAAGTTCAGACTTCCCAGTTTGATTTGTGCATTTTGCCTCTTCTCACACTACCGTGGACCTCTCAAAGGGTGTGATGCTGTTTGCTTAACAACCTTCTAATTGGTATTGGAAGGCTGCTATTAGGACCTCCAAGCCTCTTCTGATTATACAAACCTATTTCTCTCAGCCCCTTACTGCAGGGCAGGCATGTACTCAAATTTGACCACCCCGTTGTACTACAAATAGATTTCAAGTTCCTCACTGCCCTTCTTGTATTTGGGGTGTAGTGCATCCAACCTGGATGTAGTATCCCAAATACACTCTGAAAGGTGCCAGTACCCCTTCCCTTAACCTGCTGGTGACACTCCTGTTAAGATATTCTTAACTTCCATCTCTGACAAGACTCACTGTAGGCTTATGTTTAGCTTGCTTTTCCCTAGGAACCTTTGGCCCTTTTCCACAAAGCTGCTATCTTTGCCTAACCTCACTTAGTTCCAGGCTTTTCACACCAAGTCCATTTCATGCCCTTGCTTTTCTCTCCACCTCACAAGCAATCAAATCCCCATTATGGTCTCTCCCATTTCTGCAGTCCAGCTCCAAATCTGTTTTGCTTCCTGTATCACCCCTAAGCTCTACATAACCTGCGAACTCCATGAGACCCTTTCTAGAGCAGATACTTAGCTTTCCTCTTACCTGCGTTTGCATCAACTAACTTCTCACTGCTGCTTGGGTTGACCCTGAAAAACAACTTAGATCTTACTGTTGATGGTAATACATGGACTCAGCCAGGAGACAAAACCACTGGGAACATTTTCCTCTCTCTTTTTTATACATCTAGAATGTGCTTATAACTAGAGAAAGCATAAAATATTCTCCCAAAGCATACACCTTGTCCAAATACAAGTGCACAAAAAAGAAAGGAAAAAAGAAAACCCCAATTAAAACAAAGCAAAACCCACATTACACACATTTCTTCTTTCAAAGCACAGTCTTCAAAGAGTGAAAGAGTCTCTAGACCTTTCCAAAGAAGTAGCCAAATTACTAAAAAAAAATACCCAAACACTGCATTTTCCTGACCTTCATCTTTGGAAGAGTAGAACTTTTGGGGGCTGAAGTTATTCAAGACAGTTCAACCTAAGAGATAAACCAGAAATACAGAAAATCTCAACTCCAGCAGTGTAACCTTGGCAAAAGTACAGGACAACCAAAATTAACATCTTATAATGGCAAATGCTGAGCAATTCAAAACACAGAGGTGGGAGAGCCATATAAATGAGTATAGTCTGTATGTTGGCAGGGCAACTGCACACTATATAACAAACATTTTCATTTTTACGATTCAAATTTCATGTTGCAAAGCAGCTATATACCTGCCAACTGCACATTATTAAAAAGGAAAGAACAATACAAGCTCACAGTTCCTGTGAAAACGTACTGGAAACAAAATGCTCAAGTCCCTTTCGTTTGCCAAGATGCTGCTTAACTCAACATGAAAAAGAACAAGAGTACTGGCACAGATTGTTGCATTTGCAAAAACATATCTTAAATGCTTGATACCCTTGATAAGAGTGTGAAATATGTTATGAACCAACTTGATACTACTTTTTAGCTATCACACATTTAAATAACATCTATCAAATGCAGAAAGTTTTAGTAACTCCCGCTAACACAAGCACAAGCATCATTGTGGTCTGGATGCACTTTGCTATCTCATGCATCACCAGTTTGTTAGCAGAATTATCAAGAATGAGGTATTCGCCTTTTCTTCCTGCTTTGGTTAGAAACTGCTGATCTGTTAAAAACTCAACTTTGTGCAGAAGCAGATTAATTTTGAGAAGACAAGTTTTCTCAAAAGCCACCAGAAAACTAATCCAGCAACAACAAAATTACCAGCTTTGTCAGTAGAAATATCTGAAGTCTGTTGGCTTCCACTCTCTGCACACTGATGGAGGTTCTCGCAGTTCACATTTTTTGTGAAGAAACTTGAGGTTCAGATTTTCCCTACTAAAGGAAAGGAACGCTTATTGAAATCCTTTGTGCTCCAATGAGAAATGTTTCCTCCAAGCAATACCATACCCCAAACACTTCCCAAACTTCTGCTCTGTCCACATTCACCAGCAGTAGAAGGAAGAAACATGGTGAAGAAGAGGGCAGTGATGACAATTGATTTAGCTTCACATCATTTTTGCTGTGTTCTGTGTGTTTAAAATGTTACACTGTGTCAAAGCTGCACCTAAGAACACAAGCACCTTCAGAACTGCCTTAAGCTAAGCACACACAATTTCACTGAAACCACTGGGGAAAGTTACATAGCAAAAGTAAAATTTGTAAGTTTAGCCATCAAGTCTCTGGGAAACTTCTATTTTCTAATCAGACAACACTAAAATCAACAGGCTTCTGTTAGAGATTCTGGGCATCTCTTTAATGTATGTCAGTAATGACAGACAACTCAAAAATAATTATTTTATCTACATGTAGTGTCACACAACCTTTGGCTAAACTGAGGGTTCCTGTAGAGGATTTTAAATGGGTTTTTTTTGCAAACTTAGCACATCAAAGTTAAATAATAACAATAATAATGATCATCATTAGTAGCAGCAGCTTCAGCTCCAGAACACATAAATAAATGAATTTGTATAAGGAAGACTTGCAGAGATTTTGAAGCTGTAGTTAAGTTACATAAACATCACAGTGTGGTAATCAAATGCACGTATGCTTATTGCTGAAATGTCTTCTTGAAGCCCAGAGAAGCTGAATTAATTGTTTCATTAGTTTACCATGGTCTGTAATTCATAGTTCCAAATCTCTTACTTGCTGTCTATCACTTTGAGAACTCAATCAAATCAGCATGATTTATGAAAACAGACAAGGGGATTGCAATACAGAAAGCTTATTTCTTTACTAAATGAGCTTATATGACATAAGTCTCAACCCCTAAAAATATTTTCAAATTAATTACAGTTCATTACCGTGAGTTTTATTATTTTATCTATTCCAACAGCACTTCAATACTTCTTTGAAGATCAGTGGAATAAGTATCCTATGTTTGCCTTGCAATAGTTCCTAGACCACCGCACTATTACCATGCTATTACCTTGACCATGCAATACACATGAATTATTGGGATAAAAATAGACATAAATCTTACCTACTAAACTAAGCATACAGATAAAAAAAACCAAACACCACTATTTATAGTCTTTCTACAGGTCTGATTTTTTTATAAAACAGAGTTAATCTATTCAAAACTGCAGAAAAAAGCCTATAGTTAACCTAAGGATTAAGCCCAGACTTCTGCATACAACAGTATTTTCTCAGTTACAAGACTGGTTCCAGGTTTATTGGATTTTTCTTTTTAGTATATTGCATAGAATGGATCATATGAAAAAGCAAGAGAAATACAAAAATTTGTATGTAGGATAAGCTATTCAAAAGTATGTGTGCACATACTTTCATATATATACATATATATACACATCTATATATGACTGCAGAAATTGTGAAGCCAGAAATCAAGTTCCACCTACTAATCTCACTGTTTCTATCCTTGCCTTGCTTATGTAAGTTTACGCATACACCTTGATGAGTAGCAATGCTTTGAAGAGTGAACTGTTGAAGCATGTCATGTGTCCTTTTTCCAGTAAAATTAATTCTAATTACTAACTACTAATAGATTTTAGTAATTTATACCCCTTTTGTTCACAGGAAAGCAAGCCATCCAGTGGCTACTATTCCGTATATTTCTGAAGTGTTTGTTTCCATTATCCCATACATTAAGACTTTCCTTACCCAAATCACGGTGTCAAAGAAAAAATGAAGAACCCAGAACCCACTTGACACCTCCATTTTATGATAAGGAATCAACTGTTCGATGTTTCACATACTTCATACTTCAGATATTTTATTAATGAAACAAAGCAAAACTACGATGTACTTGTTTTCCTTTTCAGTTACAGATAATAGTTTAATAGTTAGTGGTCCTGTTTATGCTATACTTTTTGGTCAGCTCCTTCTTTGGTTTGCCTTATGGACAAGATATTGTTTCAAAGCCCAAGACCCACTGTTTTAATTGTTTTTTAGAGTCTCCCATTGCCTAAAATAAATTTTCTTTCTGGTAATCACATGATGGTTATATCTCACAACTGTCTGGTGTGTTTCCTGTTTTGGGTTCTCTTATTAAACCGAAGAAAAGTTCTCAGAAGCTGGTGGTGGATGGGAAGAGTCTGAACTGGCAGCTTTACTACAATATTTCTCTGATAAAGGCATAGGAAAAGAAGAAAACTGCATTAAGCATAATAACAAAACTGAAGGGCTTCAGAGGAGTCTAACTGCACCAAAAAAAGTACCATCTCCATCCAAGGATATTTTGGCCCTTCTCCGTGGTATTGTAAGTTGAAGTTCATCCCCTTCTTCTAATTTTGCAATGCCTGGCAAAAGATTTGGAATATTTTTAAGTTAATATTTCAAATACATTCTTTTCATAAACCATATTCAAAAAGTCATTACACATAATTTAAAAAATATAAACATCTTACTTGTGCCAAGTGCTTTTTCATCTTCTAGGCACAATCTTAGAAACTGTGCCTGTCAGCTACCCAAAACTGACACTTAACATCCTCTGTAGATCTAGACCTGCTTTCCACTCTGCACTCAGCATACCAAAGTTCACTTATGCAGCCACTGCAAAAATTCATAATAGTGGTGTACCCAGATCCCTCACTTTATGTGACGGTCAAGGTCAGCATTGGGTGTTGCTGGTCCTAGACCACTCTGTTCCCACACTTCTGGAGGAGGTCTTATGAGCTTTACCAACCAAATGAAGTTACCAGACATCAGCTGATTGATGCAACTGCAGAGCACAAAAGTTCGCTTCCAGCCAGCTGCACATCAGCTGATGCGATAACTGAAAGCACCTCACCTTCAAGTTGCAGTGACTGAGCTGAAAGCACATCTAACATCTGCTGCGACACATGATTAGCAGCATGAGATATTGCAGTGGGATTTGGTTTTCCAGCTGAAAGCAGAAGGGTGGGAATTTGGGAAGCAGGAACTGTGAAGTGGCAGGATGGAGTAGATATAGTTAAGGTATAGAGAAGTAATACAAGGGTATGATGACAGATGCAATTGAAGATGGTTACGGTTCCAGAATGTGTGGGTAGAGGGATAGGAAATTAAAGAAAATGACTGGACAGCCTCAACTGCCAGGAGGAAGTAGCTAATTTATGTTTATTTGTAAAAAAAAAAAGCTTCCTTCCCGATCCCATTTGTTTAATGCCACTACTTGCCAACAGTCAACTCACCCATTCAATGTCACCCATTTTTTAATAAAGCATTGAAAGAAAAGATTTTTATTTTCCAGCAAGATCTGTGTAAATTGAAAGAGAAAACCCTCAAATCCACCATTAAGGGAGAAAGACAGATGAATAGGAGCAACCAAACAAGGTTTAATAGGCTTTGACAATAATTCCTAAATGCTACTGCAGGAATATACTTATATAGTGAGCACTGAGCTTACTGGACTTGCATTAAATATTTTAATTGGTGTTTCTTGTGGTGTTTCTAATTTGTGCAGTCAGAAAGAGCTCCTTATGGGAATTAACTATTTTTCACCTAACCAAAGAGTAAAACAGCAGCAGCCATTGTAAGGAGAACTAAGCTGATTAGAAATATCTTTTGAAATCCTGGAGTAAGGTAGACAAAAATTGGGTGGCTAAAAGTAATATATGATGTTTTAAGGTAGAACATCACTCCTAAATATTTTATTGATATAACTAAATGTGGGATTCAACATCTAAGTTAAACTTTTCTTCATTAAGGATAGTATGTACTTTTAGATACTTTAGTTAGATGCCTGAAGTAGACAACACTAAAGTATCTAACTACATTATACAGTTAATGGAGAGAGGGGAATTGTTCAGATCACTTAAGTTAGATGCATACCCTCCAACTGCCAATACTTTATATAAAAAGTATTTTTGAAAATAATCTGTAATTTTACAATTAATCAGATCTACAAATGCAGTCTATTTTCTTTACAACTACCACAACACTTAATCACCCAACACTGCAGATTCTATCTGATACAGTTTATTTGCAAACATAGAAAAGGAAAACTTAGATGTTTACCAGCAGTATAGCAAGAATTATTTGGATAAGACTGTGGCATATTTTGGATGCAACGAAACAATGTCACCAAGCTGAGATCATCACCGAACACATGGGCCTTCTTCCTCTGTATAAGGTGTCCCATAGCAAATGTTGTATCCGTATATAAAACCTACAAAATGAAAATATGCAGACTTCAAACATACTGTATGGAGACATAAAAAAATCTTTTAAAAAGTCAAGATGCTGAGGGGAATTGAACTTTCTCACCTGGCCATAAATGAAAAAATATCCTGTTTCTTTGATCACTATTTTATTTCCTTGTTCTTCCAGAGCTGTTCCACGTTTAAAGCTCAGAAGCCAAGGGACAATGCTTGAATCATCTAAAAGAAACAGTAATTTTTGGGTAATCAGAAAGAAAAGTCACTTTCTTCATTTTCATCTGCCAAAAATTAACAAAGCTGACTTCTAGTCAAGGCTTCCAGTCCCACTAACTGGATTTCCCCACTGAAAAGAGGATATTTGCAAGAGCTATCCAGATGGAGGGACTTTTTAATTATTTTTAATTAGGTGACATAACTCAGTCACTGCTTTGAAGTTAGACAAGATCAGATGGAAGAGTTAATACATGGAATAGTTAGCTATGAATCACGGAACATATTCTTACCTTTCTGTTGAATATCACTTTTGCTGTCAGCGATCAGTTGCAAGCAAGCCTGCAGCACTGTGAAGTGAAAGTATTTTGAAATCAAATAAATAGAAACCAGTAGTAGAATAGAATGAGCTTTCGAAACAACTTTAAAAAAAAAAAAAAGCATTAAAAAAATTTCTCATGGTCTCACCACTGATTTGAAAACACAACCTGTTGATTTTAATGCAAATCTTACTCAAATGTACAAAAACAAAATTCATACCACAACATGTATTAGATAACCTTCAGAGACCATGCAGCTAAGTAGGAGTCTTCAGGTAATGACACAAGTAATACTTGCTTGTTTTAATCTCTGGTCCTAATATAATTGAAATATGAAACAATAACTCAAATGAGCTAGGATCATTGCCTTGTGCAAGCAAAAGCTAAAAAAAAAAAACCAAACCCACAACCCAACCCTGACAACTATGACACATATCAGATTTACAAATGATGTTTAGTATATGCTTTAAAGAAATTAGTTTCCAGTCATAGTTGCTGTAAAATATTAGTCATATATACTGGTTACGTGATACTTGCAAAATAAATTCTCATGTCGGTGTACTTCCAGTATGTTTTCAGACACCGACACTCAGTCAACTTGTACTGAGGCTAAGAGGGAAGATACTGAGATGACTGTTAGCTAATTAACGCACACATAACAAATAGCTTAGTATCTGTCAAAACTAATGTGTTGCTCAAAACTATAGAAACCAGTGACGCTAATGAGAAACTAGGAGTTTTATCAAAGAAAAATATGCAGTATGTTAAAACATAGGCTCCAAGTGAAACAAAGACCTTGTGAAAAAAAATCTGCTAAAAGGATAAAAATAATAAAAGGATAGTTGCATTTGCTTAGATCAGATTTTAATAAAAAACATCTGGTTCTAGTGCTACTTTGAAGGGTGAAAAACAGAGTAGGAACACTTACTGCACTTGATAGAGATCAAATGCATTTATCAAGAGTCAAGAGCTATGGACTGCTGAATCCCTCTTTTTGTCTACCTCCCTTTGGGTAAGAAGGCTGTGGGTCAGATTTGGCCACTCTTGCTATAATGGGCAGTGCCCTAACTCGATGTTGTTTCTACATGTACCAGCAGCATTCACATGTGCAAGCAAGTGCTCAGCAGCACAAACCTCTCACTGCACAGCAGGTGGTGAGAGAATTTGACTAGAAAGCAGTCTATCTCTAAGTCTCCTTTCCACAGGGGCCTGCCTGAAATTACCAGAAGGGGGCTGGATGCTCAGCAACACTCAGTGGTACCAGCTGGCATCTGGGAATGCTCCAATGTCACAATAATCACACAACCTGTGAGCCTTCTTACAGTAAGAGGAACCCTATCCTGCAAGCTCCCATCATCTACACTAGAACATTTCCTTGAGTTCTGCCACTTCTCATAAAAAAAATGTGCCAAAATCTATAGATTTTCAAACCAAGAATTTAAAGGCATCTGAATTCCCTGCCTTCTGATAAGGAATAAAAAAACCAAGCCAACACAAAATCAAAAAAGGTATTATACTTCAGACATTTTTCTGTCACACTTGTGAGCAACAGATTTTTCTGAAAAAGAAACTACCAAATAAAATTAAAATGTGGATTTCTGGAATCACACAACAAAGCTCATCAGGTGATTTATTTCACAAGGTACTAATGCACTCTTTTTTGGAGTGAAGTGTCTTCCTACTGAATGGAATTTGCTGATTCCTGGGTATTTCAGTAAGCTAAATAAAAGTTTTGATTCCTGCTTTTAAAAGAACTTACTAATGTGGCCGCTGGATTTTCCACTAACCAAACAAGAGAGGATTGGTTGTGATTCACACCAACCAGCTGCTATCCAGCGGGGTACAAATGAGTAGTGTCTACAGACAGTGAAAGTTATGGCTACTTTAGCAACTCTTGTTAAACCTGCTCTGCAAACTCGATTGACATTATTGAAAGTACCCTCATTTACAGACTGCAAGTCTGGATTCATGTTTCAGTTGTTTGCAGCATTGAAATACTAGTCATCATTGCTGCAAACAGCTACACAGTAATTAAAATCAGCAAGTTCGTACCATCGAAGATATTTTCTGTATTTTTAAAACACATATCAACTCTGCTTTATTCTACAGATAGCAAATCTACGCATATCCTCTAAAAAAAAAAATCTCACTAGCTGTTTTTTTAGTGTATGCAGATAGAAATAAGATCCTATGGAATATAGTAAGCTAGTTTTTCATGGAAAAATATGGACACAACAGTGTCATTTATGCCAATAAAGAGAACAGAAATTGGCACAGTGTCCATTTTATCTAAAGACACAAAGGCCAAATAATATCTAAAGAAGAGTTTGACAAATTGTACAACATGCTTCAAAACTATATTCAGAAGTCAAGACAGACACATAACTATTTCCAGTATATACAAGTACTTCATTTTTACCTCAGTGAAACTACATACATGCTTAAAATTAAGTAATTATTTGAAACAAATTCAAAGTAAACAACACTACTATTAAGGAGAAAATACGCATATACAGAGTATATTTTCTGGATAATTAACATGGATTTCCAGTAAAAAGTTAACATTGAAATGTTAGCAATTCTACTCCAAGAAGAACCCATATCTTACCTGAAGTACAGTATCAAGAATATATGCATTACAAAATATGGGTTGAATAGTTACTATCAGTACTGAGCAGAATAAATCAAAAGCTCAACCTGAATGCCCTTCAGTGCAGTGTAAATCAAACCTGAGCATCAGTTTTGTAGTCTAAAGAATTTGTTAATAATTAATAATGCAAGCAGAAGGCAAGGTTCATAAAATATATTCTTAAAATGCGTAAAAATATCAAGACTGTCACCATAAGGTCTAGCTGTACAAAACTGTGTCAAGAATGATGAAATATGCCCCATCCTCTTTTGACTTTACAGCTTTGCTTTGACGAGCACTTTTTCTTTTCTTGATTTTAACCGCTCTGCAGGCTGTGAGTGGGAAGAACATTTCAGAATCTGTCTTCTTCCATGAACAGAACAGCCAATTCTGAAGAAGTCAGTGACTCTAGATGCCTTTATAAACCACAGACAGCACATGAAGGGATGTGTTCTCTATGTGTTGAGCAATGAAACCACCAGTTAAAAAAAAGGAAAAGTTAGCCTTTACAGCAGGGTAAGAATGCAGCCTTCAGCACATCTGCATGGTATCCGTAAAATCAGATTCATCCTCCCATGCAAGTTTTTGTATTACTTAACTTGCATAATCATTTCAATACTTTGCAATCTAACTTCACAATCCAAACAAACAAAATTTCAAGTTTATTATCTGTGAACTCATGCATAAATTTTAAAGTTTTGCTACCTGAGGCCCATGTTACCTGTCTCAATTTCTGCCAAAATTAAACCAGGCAAAACCTCTGAACTTTAAAATAAAAAAAAACCCTACATGTTTAGGTTCTTTCTTTGGTCTATAACTGTTCTCTGTAGACTTCTGAAAAGATACTTAAACACTAGATAATTCGATGTATAAATGATGTGCATGTTCTTGAACGATTTGCAATTGTTCTTCCCTTAACTTCTTCCTTACCACAAGAGATCTTTTATTTTTTGCTTGGGCATTTTTATAAACTGTTTAATTTGGTGCTTTTTAATAAAAAGTCTTTATATGGCATTAATCATGGATTAAGCCAATCTCTGCACTCAAATGGTTTGGTCATAGCTAAAGGTATGACTCAGATCTAACAAATACCTGCAAAATACTAGTAGCATTATTTTGACCTTAACAGAATTACAAGTAACGTTACAATTAGAATAATAAAATATTTTAACAACAAGAATAATTTTTGTAGCTTCTGTTATACAGTATAAAGCAGAATATTGTTCTTAAAAATCAGAGCCTATTTTGTGTATTTTTGATTGCACAGTTTTCTGCATAATACACAGCACCAATTCATTCATTCAGTAAATGGAATTATCCGTGTAAAATTGCACGCATTTTATCAAGTAATTTTCTATCCTTTGACATAGAAGGGCATAATTCCTTTTGAGTAAGACTGTTGTGAGTAGAAACAAAAAAGAATAACATATATTTTCAAGAAGTAGGCCTTTTTTAAAGTAAGAGAACTCGTATTTCCCCTCTTCAAACAATAAAATAAGAGGTATTTTGAATATTTGGTGAGGGAATTTTATGTGTCGTTTAGACTAGCAACAAAAAGTTAGGTTTCTTGATTTTATGATCACTAAAATCAAATTCTATTTGTGAAAAGTCTTGCTATCTCTCTGTCACAGTGACCTAAACCAATAACCTACAGAGTCAAAACACTTCTAACCAACGAATGTACCAATCTGACAAAGCAAATGTCACCTGATTGGAGTTTAGAGAAGACTTGATGCTCACCTCACTAGTTGGCCACGGGGATCAGAATCCCACAATAATTACCAGAACGAGGCACAAAGAGAGCATGTAAATGTAACCTGATATTCATACACTGAACTGGCTTACATTAATTGAACTGGCTTAGGTAATTGAACCTACATCTTGTTTCTGGACTAAAGTGCACATACAGCTTAGAGACAAACACGCAGACAAGGAAATCAGTAATTGTGAACAGGGTACAAAATTCAGAAGAGGATTTTGTTGTGCAGCAGTTTTCGTCTACAGGCAAAATCTATTTAAAAAAAAAGACAAGTAAGGCTGATTACATCTATTCTTATGTGTCTTGATATGACATTTGCCAGAAGTGGTTAGATCATATATCTGCCTGCATATCAATAATGTGTACCTTTCAAAATCACTCATTAACTCCTACTCATTGCATCAAGAACTCTGGTTCTGACAGCTTTATTTGGAATTGATGTTTGTAACCCATCTCTTCAACTTACTTGAGCTGGAAATTTTCTCAAGACACAAAATGTGCAGCAACTGGTGACTAATAATTGTGTGCATGAACACAGTCAAATATATAGCCTATAAATATATGAAAGAACAACATTATGTTAGATCCAATTTCATTCACTTCACGTTTTAATTAAAATTATTATTTGTGGCCTCTTTGATGTCCACAACATCAAACAAATAAAAAAAAATAAAATATGGGAACTCCATATGTTCAAGAAGCACTCTGCTGGACTTAAAAAGAATCATGAGGCATCTATTTCCGGAATTTAATGATTAAAATTTAAAAGACCCTAACAGAATCAAACCACAACTTTACTTATAATTAAAATAATGGTTCTGTATTTTACTTCTGCTCTCTGTTGAAGCACAAGAGAAGCAATTGTGTATCAATGACACTTTCAAGTATTCACTTTCTAAGGAATCGTCTGTGTTAAAGTGAAATTATGGGTCAACGATTAATTATCAGGCCAAACTCTGAGAGCTTGTTGAAGCAAACAGAAATAGGACAAGAACAAAGCGCCTCACTCAACATCCTAACTTATCTTCCACTGTACCAGAATGAGTGCAGCACATCTGCAGGATTATTTGGAGGCTGCCAGGATTCTGGTACTGAGAAATGCATGCGAGAAGATCAAAATGCAGGGCCAGTAATTCTGCATACCTGACCAAGTAACAGACAGGATTCAGCACCATGAACACCACCATGCTCTCCTATTTCACTCACTCTGATGAAACAAAATTTAACATTGACTAGTAGGTTCATGGTCATCGGTGGAATCTGATCTGAGAAAATGTAACATCTTACTGAACTCTGACAAACTTAATCTGCTGTAATTAGAGCAAGCAGAAAGTTAACACTAACACATGACCTTTCATATCAATACATGACTTTTAACTTTTTTCCTTTTTATATACAAAAATATGATTGCTATGTTAGAAAACAGTTCTGTAGTAGTATGTAGCTTTTCCTCTTTTAAATAAATGTCCACATTCTGTGCTTTCTGTCACCCAATCTGAACAATTTTTAAGCCAGCTGTGTTGTTTGTTTGGTTTTGGGGGTTTTGTTTGGTTGGTTGGGTTTGGTTGTTTTTTTTTTTTTTAGGAAAAAATAAAAACCAGAAAAAACCCTTTACAGAAATAAGTAGCTTATGTAGAATTTTATGTGAATAAAGGTAAATAGGAATAATTAACGGTGGCTACTTCATGAGAAGAATTTTAAGCCTGCCAGAAGCACAGCTAAGGAGCCCATAACCCTCTCCCCCATACACCCTCAAACAGGAATAAGAATAAAGATGAAAGCTGCTGTGAAAGAAATTGGATAACTTGCAGAGTACTGATACTATAACATTAATTTTAAAAAAGACATGCCTCCTTATTTTTGATGATGCTTGTGCTTTAGATCACTATTTTTTATTTGGGAGTTGCTGGAGTGGGGAGAGCAGGGAACCTTCCCATGATAAAAAGCAAGAAATACAATTTAAGCTATCTTGTCCTCAGTCCTGTTTGTGAAATCACTCTTAGCAAGACCCTGAGCCAAAGACTACTTATAGAATAGAATAAAACCCATTTAAACCGATGCATTTTGGGTAATGTCTTAAATGAATATTGTCTTTTGAGAATATTGGAGGTAAGTAGAGTGATTATACACTAGAACTTAAATTTCGTTTAGCTTGCTGAAGATTAAGCAAAATATATTTCACATTGATTAGTCCCTCAAAAACATATTTTAAGCAAAGTTTGGTTTAGTCTTTACCTATAAATGAGTCCATTTCAACTTCATCTATTAATAATTTAACAGCTTTTATCCGTTAAAACAATCTGAAACTATCTGTAAAAGTTCTGAACTGATTTAGCAATACAAGAACATTTTTGATTACTCAGTGCAATTAGAATATGCATGCAAACTGTTTTAATTAAATTCTGTATTTCATCCTATCAGGCCTCATTGTGTTGGGAAAGGAAAAAAAAATTAAAAAAAAATGTAGGCATTTTATCTCCAAAGAAAAATATATTTCATTAATATTCCAACAGAATTAAGACCAACAGAGGTCTTCTATGAAGCACAGTCTTCAATGTTCTCTGCAGCACCTTTTAGAAAGGCCATGACAGAAAAAATCTTACTGGATAGGCATGCCTTTATTAACTTTCTAATTACATTAATAGATTGATTTAATGTAGAAATGATGCTAAACTTCTGATTTTCTTGTAGTCTGCCTTTTTTGACAGGTACAAGTCAGCCTTTCTCTTTGAAAGCTCCTACTTCCCTAAATTAAGGATATTTCTTGTTACTTCTCTCTTTCAAGATGAGCGTGTTTTCCCAGAAAAATGACTTGGCATTTTTAATAATAGCCTTCCCTCCTTATTATTGATCAGAGAGAAACAAGTTAGGCATTACCCTGAGTTGAGACTGATGGACTTAGAACTGAACAATTTACAATCTGAACGATTTGAAGTAGCTTTACTCAACTTTACCACATCATCAAGAAATACCTCCATTACAAAAAGCAGGTTTAGGATTTAATATTCAAAGTTCAACCTGCAGATAGTATGAATATCTGATACCTTAAATAGTTATGTCCCTGCTCATTGCAGGGAACTTGGACTAAATGGCCTTCAAAGGTCCCTTCTAACCCAAACCATTCTGTGATTCTGTATGGAGACCATTAAGAGAATATGCCTACAGTTAACACCATTCATTCAGCAGTAACTGTAGAGACTGTAATGGGTTCTGGGAGCACAGATGGGCTGACAGGAGAAGACACAAGTCAAGCACTGCTGCTTTTCTCAAGACAGAATCAAACTGCGTCATCCCATCCCACTCCACTGGATGCTATTTACCTGTTTCTTCTGCGTGGACAACAGACCTTCTCCACCTGTTTCTGCTCCCAGTCCAGATTTCCTTTTGGAAGCTTTCAGCTGGTCCAGGACCAGGAAGCCTCATCTCCTAATGGGGAGAAGAGACAGGCAGTGAAAGCAGCCTCACATTTGCCCACCCCCTGCAAGCTGAAAACCACCCCTCCAGCTTACCTGCCTGGTGCCAGTTGCAGACACTTGCGGGAAGGAAGAAACAGGGGTACTCGTTTTATTTTCAGCAGGGGACATGGGTGGCAAGTCTAGCGGAGACCTTGCCTCGACCCTGTAGATCAGCTCACTGCGCAGAGCTTCTAGTTCTGTTTTCAGGGTGACAACATGGTAAAGAGACACTGCTGCAAGGCAAGAGGACAGGAGCATTGCAAACCACAGGAATGTGACAGAAAAAAGTACTGTAGTGCCTGAAGCAGCGCCGGGGAGGGCAGAGGAGGCGGTATCCTTCTGTTGGGTGACATGCACACAGTCCATGGATTTCATCGCTGCTCTTTCTCTCACTAAAGCCAGAGGGAGAGTTCAGCTGTCCCCTTCCGAGGTGCATTCCATGTTACCAGTTGCTCTCTGAAACTAAGGGCATCCTGAATAAGTGAACAAAACGCCCAGATCATTTCCTGTCATATGAAGCCGCTGATACAACGATTAAACTTAATGTACAGAGTGAACATCTAAGATTCAGTCTCTGTTTAGTTCTCTTCTTTCTGAGCTGCATTTTGGAAGCGAATACTTTCTCATGAGTTGCTTGTTCAAGCTACCTTCCTCCTTTCACTTTCAACTATTTATGTGGCAGCTTGATATTACCATTTCCCATTATCTTTAAATTTAGGCACAGCCAGGACCACTGGTGATACCTAGAAGTGCAGAAGCAATGTAAAGTTTCCTGGCAGCATATCATCCAGTGTACTTAAGACACACATCTGACAACATGTGTGCCTCTGTGTGTGTGTAGTTATATAGATGTTCATAGTTTATATCATATATATTTTAATATATATTCATATCTAAAGTGCCTGTGTGCCTACAGAGGGGACAACCTATTAAAACTAAAATACTTGTGGTTTCCTAAGCACACAGTGAAAAATATTCACAGGTATGAGTAACAAATTACTGGTCTCTCAGCTGTGTAAAGCTGCAGATTCTGCAGCTCAGTTCATCATGTTAACCTGAAAAGGGATGATTTTTTATTAAACTTATCTAATATATATAGTTTCTCTACAGGATTTGAGGACCTAGGTTAATGCAGATGGGGACACAGAGAAATGGGGAGAGGAAACTTGGGGAAGGGGGGCTCAAAGGGGTGAAAACTAGAGGATGAGAAAGAATAGGAGAGGGGGAAATAAGAAGAGGGGCAGAGGGGTATTGAAGGAAAACAACATTTAGAGAATAAAAAAAAATCCAAACAAAATAAAAAACAGAATCCAAACAACCTTTACACATGCATGCTTTAATTTTTCAGGTGAATCCTAAGTGTGACTTAAGCTCATCTTTTTAATATATTCCTAGTTCCTTCATCTTAAACCTCTGCATTAGGAATGCTTTGCTTTTCTGCAGCAGCAAGGCTACCTAAAGATCCTAAACACGCTCATATGCTTTTTGCATTGTCTTCTCACAGAAAATGAAAGTTTTACTCCTTTTTAAAAAGTTTCAGTGGTCTGGGATGAAAAAAGATCTAAAGCATCATAATTAGGGCTAAAATGAACAGACCAGCCCCCTCCCCCCACTGAAATCAAGATGTTTTGCACCATGTAAGTAAACTTTATGTTTGTAAGAGAGAATTTTACAGGTCAGTCTGAATGCTGTGTAATGAATCCTGATGGCAACACCGATCAGAGTAGTTCAGATCAAGCTGATTCTGTTGGGAAGACAGAGCAACCACAGGCCAACAACTTTCATAGCCTTTCCAACTTCTATCTCTTAAGACTATGAGAAATTGAGAGTTATTATAAAAGCTTTATCATCTTTCACTATGATACAAACTACTCTTTTCCTTACTTTGATGCTTCTAGCAACTGCCCAATATCCTGCACAGACAAGTGACTTCTTGCCTAAATGTAGAGGAAAAAAAAATATACTGCTTATCTTAAGATGCCCCTAGAAGGCACATACATAACTGTGAGAAATGATGCAGAAATCAGTGCAGACTACCATACTGCTTCTTCACCTATTTTCAAGGCTAATTTAAGGTGTAAATGGGGTTGCACTTTGAAGGAAATTTAAAATTAACTTAGGTAAGGGTTTTTTTGGAACAGAATGAGCAATTATTAGAACTAAGCAGACATGACCTGGAGACATGCCATCACTAGATATTAGGACATTACCAGCCCAGTACTGACTGCGTTCCAAAAATAAAATAATATGACATTTGGAAAAAAAGTGCTATTTAAGAAAATGAAGCCAAGTGAGAAAATGAAAGTTGTAACTAGCCATCCAGGAATACTGAGAAACAATTGGCTCATGAGGTCTTTGTGGTCATTAACATATAATAACAGACAGGTATATAATTAGCATCGCTTTAGTCACTTCTGAAGAAAACAGGCTCTTCCCATCCGCTACACCTTCTTTAAATGGGGTTATTATTTGGGCTGACAAAACACTTGTGGTGACACAGAGGACTTCTGTAAGATGCCTGGTTTTATCTTATCATTCTTGCCCTGGTTTTGCTGGGATAGAGTTTTCCTCCTAGTAGCTGGTACAGTGCTACTTTAGTCCGAGAATAAACGCTGGTAACATGCTGATAAAAAAACACCAAAAAAACCCCATACAATTCTGATAAATGAGAATTTCAAAGGGAAAATCAGAACAGCCCACACATGGCAAATTGTTAAATCCAACAGGTATTTCTAGTTGAATATCAAAACGGGATCACTCTGTTTGCAACTTTGTTTTGTTGTATAGTTTCCTAAGTAGTTAAATGAGTTGAAAGAAAATATAATTTCAGTCAATTTTTGTGATGACAAAAACCATAATGAAACAATAACCAATAACAGTGAGAGATCAATCATGAAAAACCACATGAATTGCCCAGAAATATACATAGTTGAATAACTTTCATTTTAACACATTCAAATGAAGCTTTAGTAAATTGCAGGCTATTAATTGCATTAAAATAAAAACTCAGAAAAATTACTTGAACTAATTAAAAACAAAACAAAAAAAACCTTCTGCAAAGCCTAGAGCCAGTGCCTCGATGCTTGCCACTACGTCTTTTCACAACATACTGCCCATATGATTCCTCTTGTCAGCAAAGCTGCAAAGTAGTCCTTAACCTGCTTACAGCAAAATCAGTAAGAGTAACACACAAGCAGGTATCTTTTTTTTTTTGCATTTTAAACTAATGTATGACTCAAGAGGACTAGACAGTGCTCAAATTAGCCTCCTGTTAGCAGACATGGGAAAATGTTGACTCCAAATGAACACAAGCTCTCAGTGTAACATTCTTGTTGAAAACGAAGTGTAACATTTGGATATATACACTGGAGCAGAATATAAAGTAAAAATAAGGGGTAGCAGTAATTGTGCTTTTGTATCGTCAAAACTGTTTACATATAGTTATGGCTGTTTGAACCAAACGGTGAAAAGGGCTCAGAATAAAAAATCCAGAATGAATATAAGAGGCCTGAAGAACTTATCACAAACAAGGTATTCAGATTGTAGTTAGCAGTCTCCTTCTACTGGCCAGCTTCTCTGAAAACTCTTTTGCAAAAGTTTGTACCATGTTAACTGGTTTTGGCTCAAGATGCACATGCTGTGCTACACATGCATGCATGCAGTAAAACCTTAGGGCAACAAGTGGCCACCTTGAGCCCAGTTGAAAGCAGTGTTTTCCAAACTATTTCTAGAAAAGAAAATGCTACTGCATGAAACTGCAGTAAACACCTAGTCCTGGTATCTAACTCTGGAAGCAAATATGTGTAAACCCTAAAGTTTAATAAATACCTAAAGGTGTTCTGAAAATGTGGTCCCATTTTGTATGGACAGCACAGTTGATGTATGCACACACAGTGAATCCAACCATTTAGCAGCTCCTTAACACAAAGTATAACTTATGTTGAACATTCAAGGTGACTGGCTAAGAGACCTCTTTAGTTTAGCCAAGAAAAACTATTAAGACATGCTTTGGCTAGTCTAAGAATGTTACTTAATCATATTTATTTCCATTACCACAAAGACTCTTAATGGTGAGAGTGTTTTGCTAGGGGAAATGGATTCCTGAACAAAATCAAGGCTGGCTAACCTTCCAGGATGTTAGAGCAGAAACAAATCCTGTAATTTTTGAAAGCAAGTAATTGTTTTAATTTCTGTTTGCAGAGTATCAGATTACATGACCACGATGGGCCCTGGTAACTCGTAAATTTATAAGACAGCATCTCTACATCTGTGGGGAACCAAGGCAGAGATAGTAAGCAATCACACAGGAAATTTGTGGTTGAACCAGAAACTGAACTCTTGATTTCCTGAAATCCAGTACTGTCTTTAAACCACAAAAGCATCCTCTTTGAGGGGGAGGAAAATTCCATAATGAAGTTTAATGTACAAAAGAGAAGCAGATGATTCAAATATGAAGACTTGTGTAAAAACCCAAAGTGTAAAGTTTACTTAAGAACAAATGTTCTGTTTTCAAAAGGGAGGTTGTGCAGATGCTACAACCCAGAGATCCACGCAAACAGCCATACTGAAAGTACGCCTCCAGTGGCAAAGGTCCAACTTCACATACTTCTGAAGTAGCCACAAAATCGAACTGGTCCCTGTGGTTATTAGAGACACAAAAAGGCCACAGTAACTTGCCTTAGCACACGAGACAGTGAAGAACAGATAGAGAATCAAAGAATAAATGAAGGCTCCATTTTAAACACACTGAATTTCAAGTCCTTTCTGAAGATGGACAACATGGATGGATGATTACCCTGTATGACAATTTTCTGCTATTACATACATCTGTATTAGAAGTATTCATAGATGTCCCTCTGAAACAGTACACACTCCCCTCAAGGACACTTAATTAGATCTTTCAGCCATTAACTGCAATTTACAAAGTAGCAAAACCAGGTAAGTTCCTGCCTTCCACACGGATCCAAAAATCATTCGATTTGTGGATACTGTGTTCCTGTGGCTGTATATCTTACCATAACCTTAAATTTAAAGCTGTCAAATACTTTGCAAGTAAAGGATGTGTTATACGAACAGTTAAAGCCTTATTTGATATATTACCTTATTAAAAGGAAGAAAAAACAATCCTTCAGATTTTTCTGAAGCAAAAAAAGTATTCTTTTCTCTTTGCCTCCCAATTTCAAAATTGCCTAGGATAACAAAAGTGTCTCTGCACACTGTAGATACACCATGCTTGATTTACTCCTTGCCTAAGACTTTATTTCTCTAGACATCCAGACAACTTTGGACCAAAATTGGCATGTATACTATGCAAAGTAAACATGCAGCTGACTTGCAGTCATCATTACTTTTTATATGATTATTACAGTGCTTTCAAAGAGAATAGAAAATGGCAGAGGAAGGAAAAGCAATTATTATAGGTGTCACTTAAAGTATGCAGCAGGAATATAAAAATACACAGAATATAAAAGAAATACAATTTCAGAAACAAAAATACAAAAAACCACAAGATTTATGTACTACAGCAGTTTAATGCCAGCCTCCTCCCTTTGCCCCCTCTTCCCTCCCCCCACCATGATGTTACACTAGAAGCCATTCCTTCTTACTGCACAGAGGAAAAGGAGCTCTGTCATACAGCTGTAGCTCACTTCTAGTAACAGTCCAGCTACACGGAGTATTCCGCTTTTCCACCTCTTCCACACTATGCAACTTGACAGATTTTGCACAGATGGGCTAAAAGTGTATTTGTATGGTAGCAAAATAAACAAGGAGACATGGCCCTTCGTGGGAGGGGCTACTCTGCTGTTGCTACAGTCTGTGGACCGCAGAGGGCACAGCACAGGGATCCAAGTCTTTTCATATCATAGCATTATTTCTTCATAGCTGTATCTAATTGCTACACTATTAGAAGGGAACAGCCTCTGCCTGATTTTTCCCTTTGAACTTTTATAAATAATTAGCATAACACAAAACAGCTGTAGAACTTCCTTTCTTTCTGTCTTCAAGCAGCAAATCTGTTGCTTAGTTGCTCATCAAAACTAGCAGCAACATCTCTCTGATGACACTTGACATCAGCAACCTTGCAGTTTTGAGTTATTCAGCTCATTGCTTAAGATTATTAAAGATGTACTTTCAACAATTATGAGTGGAACTGTGTTCTGTAACGCATTAAAACCAGGTCTACTCTTAAGCTGTACTGCCTCTTCCAGAGAAAGAAAAATTTCCGCTTTCTCAAGGCATAGGAGAATTATTCTGCCCCCGCCCCAGCTGAAGCATAACAAATTAATCACATTAACATTTTCAAAACATTTCTAGAAAATATTCAGTGTCTGTTCCTTAACTACTTACAGAGACAGAACTAAGACCCTGAATAGGGTCCAACAAAGGATTTTAAGTTCAGAGCAAGTAATTACTGTTTAGCTAATGGTTCAGTATTTTCGCAAAACCTTATCTACCTATACTTGATATTTCTAAAAAGACAGTGAGTCCCCTGCTTTTGGTTTAAGTTTCATTTATATCATTTTAATGTAGATGCTTATATACCCTTATGAATCTACTATGTTTAAGCAGCACTCACTCAGAAATTCAAATACTGTATTTTGTCTACCGAAGGCCTGCACATATCTACTAACAAACTGCATACATCACAAGACATTACAGAACACAATTCCTCTGTAGCCCACAGTTCCTTCATAGCTCAGCTGCTTATCAATTTCCAAACAAGAAAAGGCACATACAAGACTTGTATTCTTCAGTATAGCACTGCACAAGTAAGTTTTTTAGTGACATAATTCACAAGACAGCAAACTGCTTTTCATTCAAGGGCAGTATTCACATGAGGTATCAAATCTGAGCTGCTCCTTTCATGGCTTCCTTTTCACAAATTAGAAATTATTCTTTTTTTCTATTAAAATAATAGAGATGTTGAATAAAGTTATTAAAATGTACCACTCACCCCCTACCTCATTTTCATAGGTACTGGGTTAAAATTGAACTGATAGTTCTATTTTAAAGTAATCCAGGAGAGGACACACATTTTACAGCTTTAGAAAAGCCAGCAGCAAATCGTTATTTTCTGTGTACTGCACATTAACCATGCAGGATGGGAGCAGAGGTGCCTTAAGCTTAGCTATGCATTTTTGTAAAGAAAGTATGAGTTGCTCCAGCTCAAGTAGCCTGCTGCAGCTACATGTCTTAACTATAAACCTGCTAGAGTATCATTACAGCATTTAAAACTGATACTTAAAGTATTACCAGCAATAGATGGCAAAACCAGTCAGAAACACTTAAAAATATTTCCTAATTGACATAATATTTAGGCTATCTCTCAGTCCCCCAGATAACAGAGAAATTTTGAAAAGCAGATTGTGTTCAAAGGGATGGAGAATTACCACATATCAGTCTTATTTATTAAGACTTCCAGAAAGTGAGGATATGTGGTAAAACTCAAAACAGGTATTTGCAATAAAGTTGTTCCCTGCTGTAACAACTTTCCACAAACACTGCACTGAACAATGCAGATGTCTTAATTCACATGCTTTGGTTTTATTAAGTAACTGAAAATGGTACTTTGAGGTTAATCAGTTACCACACACACAAAAATACCCCTGTACATGCACTGAAGACAGGCCACAAACTAGAACAAGGCATTAACAGCAGTTTCAATTTATCAATTTATTGCATATGTCAGTACATAAAAATAGAAAAGTGTTTTTGTAAAATTAATGTTATTGTAAAAACCAGACTCGAATGAGAATGTAAAACTTTGCCACAATTAGCACATATACAGTAACATTGATGCTTTGTCTGCAAAACTTAAGAATAAGACTTTTTTGCTTTACCTATATATTAAAGAAAAAAAACAAACAAATATCTGCATCATATTTTCAATGACTGTTTCTGAATTCAAAACACAAGTGTTATTTAGAACTTCAATATGTTATTGCTATTTACACTTCTGTAGCATTCTACTCTAAATTATACAAGCAGGATGGCATTGTAAATTATTCTGAATGGGATACATCAGGCTGATCCCACTACATGACATGCAAGAGGCACTGATTTTATATTTGGCAGAAGTGCCCCTAGCAAAATCACCTGTCATTAACAAAAATAAAAATGCATTTCAAATTTGAATTATGAAATACAAACAGAGGTATGTCTGCATCTTTTAACCAAGAGACCATACCTTGGACTCTCAATTCAGCCTTGCATTCTTCACTGTGAACATCTGACATGATGCAAATGATTAGTTTAAGAGATGCCGATATGCATATTTTGTGTAAGTACTTAATCCATCTGCCCTTCAACTGAGATTGTCCGTAGCCTACCAAACGTATTTGTGCTCTATTTCTAATTTTACCTGAGAAATGGACATGAGGGCAGCTATACCAGTTAACATTTTTTTGGATGAAAGCATCACTTATCTCTCTGCATTTCACAAACAAGTATTGGGAATGTAAACTTGAGAAGCTGCAAGTATTTCCACTAATTAAAACCACACACATAAACGTGTGCTGGATGCTTCCTTACAAGGACTCTACTGCTACAGCTGTTCAAATCCTGACCCCTATTTCCCCACCCACCTTTTTTTTCTTTAACTTGAATTTCCTCTTATAAAAGAGACAATGCCTTTAATGAGCATATTTAAACCAAGAGGCTTTCTCACAAACACATGAAAATAACTTAACTTCCTCTACCCAAACTAGAAATTTATATATACATGACAAATACTTGGGAAACATCTATACACAAATGGAGAACTGTTAAGAGAAAACAGTATTAAGTGGAATAAATGTAACAGTATCATAATACAGTTTTTGGCAATTTTAAAGTTACTAGTAATAAACTGTTTGCAGTTCACTTTTTAGCAGCAGATAATTGTGGGTTTCCATCACACAGACTATAAAAGAAAAACAAGTCTTCACTTGTCAGAACAAGTTTCTTCCCCCTTATCTCTCCCTTAAAAGAGAGTACATAGAGCAGTAGAATATTTGCATTAGCCATTTGCTTCCTATTTTCTTTCCATGGATTTAATAGCCAATGCAATGAAAACCAGCATGATAACAGACATTCATTCATAAGTGTATGCAGCCAACCCGTTACATGAGAAGTAAAAATGTGCATGTGGAAGGCGGAAGAAACCAGATTAAGTGTAAAGGATACATATATGACAATTGTGTCTTCGCGTACCAAACACCTGCAAAATCCAACAAAGGTTCATCTTTACATTCTCCAGACAACAGAGTGAAAAGATCTGGCTTGATAATCAAAAGTAACATTTAGAAACACTCCACTTTGAACAGCTCCATATTGCCATAATGTAATGCCACACATTTGACTGACTTAGCCAACTGTGTGCCCAAATTAGAATACTTCATTTGTATCTAAGTGCCACATTTCCTTCAATTGGCACAAAGTAGTGTAAAAAATCGTGTTACTTTAGAAATCCGCATTTAATGAAAACAAGGTATTTAATGGCAAATTATGACAACTTCTGAAACCTTTATTTACTTTTTCATTCTATTGCCAACAAGTAATCTAATTATTTTGGCTTTATCAACTTATTCTTAGAAAAGCGGTATTTGCCCACTTATTTTCCTTGACTCCCTCCATCAAAATTCTAAAGCAATGTAGACCAGCTGAAACAACCTATGCAAGCAGCTTACATTTAGACCACATCGGGGAAAGGGACTGCTATGTCCATTAACTCCCTTCTGCTATATAAACACACACACGCACACACACAGCCAAACTTCACCAATAACCTTTCCCACCCTCCTACCCCCCTCAAAAAAAATGCCACCACTGGAAGGCTGAGGAGATAGTTTTGGTTTCACTCAGACTTAAAACTGTGCTTGTCTATGACTGTAGGTCTGTATATCCAAAAAGATCTATACCCTTTTCAACTGACCCTAAGAAAACTTTAATAATAGTATGACAAAATATACTTACCAGAGAAAGCAACAACTTCTGGTATGTGTAAGTTTATATTAAAAAAAAATAAATAAATCAGTTACTTAAAGATGCATCACCCTATCTATAAATTGCTGACAACTCTTACCCACATGTACGTAAGACTTGTAATTTCATGTAACAAATTTTAGGAGGCATAACCATTAAGGCACCAGCTCAGGAAAGCAGTTTTATTCAACCAGAAAACTTAAGCACAAGCTTAAAATACCATCAGGAAACACATTTTAAGTGTGTGCTGAGATGCTTTTCTGAATCAAGACAACCTGCAGAAAAGTTTCCTTAAAATTTTCAATCAGAAGGGGAATTGTACAAATTGTGTCTCCACAACTTGAGTCTCCACAGTTCATTCTTCCCATGAGAAATTTTTTTTGAAGGGGCAAACTATCAGCTGCAGCAAATAACAAACCTGCGGAAGATGTTCAAACAGCCTGATTCCCATACAGATTAAGTTAACAATACAACTTTCATGACTACCTAGGAGGACTCCTAAAAAACAACCAAAACTCCCAACATTGTCAGAATCAAACTCTCTCAAATTAAGTAATGCTGGCTCTGAAATGATGGTATTAGCTCCAAAAGTCCCAGCAGAGCCAAAGAAAACTCACTTCTGGTGATGCTCAGGATACTTACACATGGTATCACAGAACTCTAAGAAATTTTCTGGAAGCAAATGGGTGCAAGTGTCAAAATAAAAGTCATCTCTTTCAGACTAGCTAAGTGTAGGTCTACTAAATTTAATGCACAGCTAACTTTTATTATCTTTACTGTAACAACTGGTATACATTAATCTCTACTCAAGTGATCACTGGTAATTATTTGGATTTGTTTCTTTTGGAGGTATAAATAAAGGGCACAGACATGTGACTACACCAGCAAAAAAAAACAAAACCAAACAAAAAAAACCCACACACTAATAAAGACCCAAACACAAAACCATACTTTTACCTTGTATGACACTCTATCACACCACACACTCTGCCTTGGGAAATCCCACCTGAGTTGCACACCAGACTAAGACCAAGTAGTTTGCCTGTATGTTAGTGAGGAGAGCATGGGTTAGAAAGAAACTTAGATTGCACTGCTCTCTTTTTGAAAGTTACTTCTGTTTCCTATGAAGAAGTTACCTTGGCAAAATCCTGAAGCCATGATGTTTAGGCACATACAACTTTCCGGGCACTATTATAATACAAATAGTAAAATGAAAACAAGGAAAAGTTGTCTTTTCCTTTTCATCTACAGTTTGAAATATTTATGTATGCATAACCATAAAAAACAGTAATAACCCAGGACAGCATACCTGCAAGTATACTCTACCATTAATGTTATATTATTTAGCACAATAAAGACTTCCCACTTTGCATAATAGAAAATCTCAAGCAATAGAACACTAATCTCATGCATAGCACACTTTAAATCAACTCTAAGAGAAGCAACAAATCATTGTGCTGACCATGACTGTCCAAAAAGGTCACACATACAGCAGTGAATACTGAAGAACCTCCCGTTGACCTAAACTAACACATCCCATACTACTTTTGTAGCAAGTTCCTTTAATAGCGTCTGTTGTACATATCAAACAAATGGAATATATGGATAGAGATACCAAAAAAGTATGAGAAAGACATAAAATGGTTCATTTACAATGCTGCAAGTGTAAAAGTTACCTGGAACACCTTAATAAAGCATCATATCTTTCCAAGATTAATTTCACTCTTTAGGCAAGTATAGACATGACATACATTTAAAAATGGACATTTTTTTACCACTTTTCACAAATCAAGGTACAGTGCAGATACTCCCCCCCCCCGCCCCAAACCCACCAAAGAATAGCAGTTATATTATTGTTACATTAGATGATGGTTTCACCATTTCTTCAGGGGAGTGACTCTTTATTACTTCTTTGATGAACTGTTCAAGTGCAGTGAAATAACCCTGGCACTGCCAAGTGTCATTATGAGTTCCATCAGGAAATATTGCCAATCTCTTAGTCCGAGCTGGGGATAATTCATAAAGTTGCTTCATCATAACTGGTGGAATTAACTGATCAGACAACCCAGAGATGAAGAGAGAAGGCATTCTACACTGAGAGATTTTTCTGTAGGACAGAAATTTATTTTTGTAGCACCATAAAGGAAGATACCTCATTGGAAAGAAAGAAAACAAAGTGCTGGCCATGTATGGGATACTAAGAAAGGTGTTCTCCACCACGATAGCAGAAATCCTATGGGAATTTTCAGAAGCTAAGTGAATAGCTACTGCTCCCCCCAAGGAACGGCCAAAAAGAAAAATTTTTGTTTTGTCAAGATCAGATCGAGTCATCACATAGTCTAAAACAGCCTCAGAATCTAAGTACAAACCTTCTTCACTTGCTTCTCCTTCACTTTTTCCATACCCTCTATAATCAACAAGAATTAAGTTTACTTTCAGGTTTACCAGCATCAACAAAGCATTGGGCAACCTGTGGCCAATGTTGCCTGCATTCCCATGGAAGTAAATGATGGTTGGAGAATAAGCTGCATTGTCCCCTGTGTACCTCAGTAGAATAAGATTAAGAAGAACTCCATCTTTGGTTTTGATGAAGATATTTTCATGTGGTATACCAGTAGGCATAGGAACGTAAAGGCGTGATGAAGAGGGCTGTTCAGGAAAGTAAAGCAGCACATCCTGGAATTTATATAATATACCTGCTATTGATACAAATATTAATATAAGCAGTATAATGCCTCCATATAAGTGAAAAGTTACTATCAAGGGTAAGAGACAAATACGGCAGAGACTCCAAGACCAGGAAGCCAAAGCTAGCAGCCATCTTTTAACAAAGGTCCAGAACATCCATGACTTTTCCATTGTAGAAGTCAGTGATCTTTTACTCCAAGTAAATCCTGAAAAAACAAAACCCCAAACATATATGCGTAAATACAGGGGAAAGAAAAAGGAAGCGATTTAAGCATTCATGCTTGCACAAGATAAATGGCAAGTCAATATATTGAAGTATAAACATCAAATTTGGTGGCAAACTCTGAGATTTTGGAAAGCATTCAACTTTAAATAAAGCAGAAAACCAGTTATAATGAAAAAGCCTTTAGAAATCTTCAAAATACCATTTACATTACTTCAGTGAGCAAGTTCCATCAGGAGCACTAGAAAATTGGTTGACTGGGACCATAATAACTTACACTTTCCACCAGTCTTCCCTACCAACCAACAGAACATCCATATAGACTGTATCACCAGTTTCTCAAAGCTTCTCATATAAGTAATTCTAGAATCCAGAAAACACAAACAAAAATACCCCTTTTTTCTAAGTTGCTCGCCAAGAAGAACATTAAATACACCCATGCACTTGACTCTACAAACAGTAGAGGCTCATACTGTGTATCAGGTCTGCTATCGTTTCGTGTCTGCCTTTCAGAATCTAGATCAACTAATGACAAAGGAACAACTGGTCAGAAGAAAGAGATTCCTTTATAGTAAGATACCACATTACAGTTACATTTATGCCAGTTGTTTTGCTAATTTGGATTGGTTCTGATTTATAATGACAGTGTTCCACTATCAGATCAGTAATCCGTACTAAAACTTCAGCTGAAAGATTATATCATCATACAAGACCACTGGAAAGAGTCAGCTATCTACATTATTCTCTGAAAAATGAAAGCACAACTGCTGAAAGTCCAAACACGAGAACAAACTCATGACAAAAACATACACACAGCATAAAATGAGGGTAATGTTAATGACAGTGGATTAAATCTTCTTTCCAGCCATAAGAGGTAAGTTACATCTCACAGCATACACATAATCTCTTCACATTATTCACTGCTGGTTTCAAGTGTAATACGGAAATAGACAAAAACTGCCAAACATATGTGAGAACTAATCACTATATCACTGACTTAAATAAGCACACTGTCTGGAAGTGACAACACAGGTTCACTTGTTTCAGAACACTCTAAGTTATATAGCAGATAATGATTACAGTTTAGGCACACTCGAAGTTGTAACTTCCTAAAATAACAGTGCAGTAAGAAGCTGAATTAAATCTAAAGGAGCCTGACATGCAGAGATGCATCTAAGCATTCAATTAAGTCACAGACCCACACCAAAATAAGCTCTACAGTCTAATGCTACTGGGGAGGGTTGCAACTGCACCAGCCATCTTTGTAGGATCAAGTGATAGAGGGTCACAGCCTCCACACTCCATAAATATGACCAGGGAAAACTGCCATCTCTATTTCACGCAACAATTAGATATAAATTAGAAATAAAACTATTACATCTTAAGATTCATATATTAACCAAAGGCAATGTGAATTTATACAGTGCATCTACTTCAAATACATAAAATTGGTGAAATATAGTCTAAAAAAAGCTTTTTTTCTTTTTTCTTATATTATTTATGAGCTAATATTCAATATCCACATCCAAGTATGCACAAATATTTTCTATATGAAAATTTAATTCCTGTATCCATTTCTTTAGTAAAGAAGTCACGGTAACCAGGAGGCCCATAAAGTCTAATTTGTATACAAAGTCTGTATTAGGAGACCCATAGTCTAATTACTCTAATTTGTAAGAGAATTTCCTAATGAAGTTGACAAACATTTCCTGCATAGAAAAATTTATAACAAAACAATAAAAACACTCTCATTATCTATGCTATTCAAAATTTTGCTGTTTTGCAAAATGAAAAGACTCCAAAACTTCTTTCTCAACAAGACATTTACAAAAAGGAGACTCCCTCATTAAAAAGAAATACTGAAAGGCAAAGCAGTAATAAAAATCTTACTTAAGGTGATTAAGCTTTGCAGATGGCTATTCCATATATGCTAAAGATTGCTATTTGAAGACTAATGCAGCTGATTTTATAAGCCATGCTAGTTTCATTTGTGCACTGCTTTTATTTTAATTTCACAGAATCCTAGAATAGTTTGGGTTGAAAAGGAACTTAAAGATCATTTAGTTCTAATCCCCATGCTGTGACAGGGACACCTCCCAATAAACCAGGTTGCTCAAAGCCCTGTCCAACCAGGGCTTAAACACTTTCCAGGGATGGGGCATTCACAGCTTCTCTGGGCAACCTGCTCCACAGCCTCACAGTAAAGAGCTTCTTGCTTGTATCTAATCTAAATCCACCCTCTTCCACTTTAAACCCATTCCCCCTTGTCCTGTCACTACATGCCCTTCTCAAAAGCCCTTCTCCAGATTTCTTGTAAGCCCCCTTTAGGTACTGGAAGGCTGCTCTAAAGTCTCCCCAAAACCTTCTCTTCTCCAGGCTGAACAAGCCCACCTCTCTCAGCCTATCTTCACAAAGTTGCGCCAGTCCTCCGATCATCTTCATGGCCCTCCTCTGGACTCACTCAAGCAGCTCCACATCCCTCTTGTGTGGGGGGGATAGATAAGCTACAAAACCCATAATTTTAATAGCAGTGTCCTAATGCTAGTCTTAAATGGTAAATGGCATTATCAACTAAAGATCACAAACTCAAGTGCATACTTACAGCACTTGGGATAATTTTTCTTTCTTTTTGAATGGCAGTTGCCACAAATTCTGTTGTATTTTTTGTCTGCCTGTATTTTTAATAATTAGAAGTGCTATTTCCATACACTAATCACAATATAAAACATTTACCTTTGGATGTGATGATTTCCCAGGCTTCATCTCTGCCTGAAAGACAATTCCATTTATGAACTTTGAGTAAAATTACTTTTGAATTACACACATAATTACTGTTTGTCTTCAGTTACCTGACAGAAAATTAAGAAGTGCAAACAGCCAATAATCCTAGAAGCTACATTTGCTTTATGAATGAAACCATGCATATCATGTTCATGCTCCTGTCAAGCTCAGCTCTTGTCTGGAACATCTGATAAACTTGAAAACAACATCTTATAATGAATTTACAGAATCACGTCAAAGTGGTCTGGACGATACATACAACATACAGTATAAAACATTCATAGTGCATAACAACAAAGTTATACTAGATTTACATTGCCTCCTCAAAGCTAACTCTTAGAGTATGAGCACCATCAAAATTAGCCCTAAGAGGAGCGTTCAGGTGTTTACAGCAGCCTTCTCATTAAAGAACTGAAAAAAAAAAGTAGTTAGCTTTAACACTCCTTACAATCCTTTCCACTTCAAGGTTTCAAAACAAAGGTATTCCTTAAGAACATAGCAATATCTGAGGACATCCATTTCTTTCTACTGTACACCCCTCCCCTACACTCCGCCTCATCCACACACAGACAAGACTTACACAAGCTTCATCTTTACTCATATTTATTCATAAGACTCCCGTAAGTAGAAATATTAAGTCATTGTAAGTAGAAACATAAGTAGCCTGGAAGAAAATACAGTTTCTTAGTACTAAAATCATTAAAATCTTACAAATTCACATTGAAAAAAAAAACCAAAACAATCAAAACCCACTTAAACCAGCAGAGTAGCTACTCCTAACCAAGGAATAAGCACAGAAAGAACAACTAAGTATCAGACATTTAAGGGCTCTGGCTTTTAAAACTGGCAAGCCACCTCTCCTACTTAATTCAAACAGAAAACTTCCACAGCTCGGCATCAAGTGGTACACATTTATAACTGAAAGTGGTTTTCCCTTAACTCTTTAATAACTTTCCCTCCCAACTGTCAGATCTTGATTAACCTTACTTGATTTATGCTGGTACTGTGTAAAAAAAAAGCCCCAAATAACAACAAGCCACGGACAGTTACCATATTAGAGCCTTAGTTTTCTAGTGAGTGTGGGCTCCTGAAACATATTACTTCTCCAATCACGTTAAATTATTTCCGATTTTACCTAAAAGAAATATTCCCCTCAGGCTTTTCAACATATTCACTTAGCAACATTTAAGTTTTCACCATTTACCCCATCTTCGACAAGCACCCCGTTTGCACAGGCCGCTCCACATGGGCAAACGCAACACCAGAGTAAGACCATGCTGCGAGGATGCAACAGGTCTCCCGAGGCTCCACAGGAAAGCACCTGAAGGAACTTCTAATGGCGTTGTCAACGCAGCAGCTCCCCAGGAGACACGTCCCGGAAGGCCGGCGCCACGGCACGGCACCCCACCCGCCACACACTCCGGCCCGGTGAGGAGCAGCATTTAGTCACGGCGAGACCCCAGACATCACACCAAAACCACACTAAAACCATCCCGGCCGCTGCCCTCCTCCCCCCCACCGACACCGGCTCACTTCAGTTCCCGCCCGCCCCACCACGGCCAGACGGGAACAGGCCGGGCCCATCACCCCACCTCCTGCCAGGGGAGCGACCTGAAGCAGGACGAAATAAGACCCACCCGCCGCATCCTTCCGCGCTGCCTCTGGCAGTGCCCCAGGCCGGTACAGATCCGACGCACAACTTCCACCACCACTCCTTACGATACGGGAAATCGCACCCCCAAGACTTCCGCTTCCGGGCCCAGGCTCCTCCGCTCGCCTTTCTCTTCCCGCCCCGAGCTCCGCCAACGTTTCCCCGCCGCAGCTGTAACTGCGCAGGCGCGGCCGCTGCCACCGCCATAGCCGGAACCACTGCGCCCGGGGGAGGAGCACAAGCGGGGCGCTTCTCGTCTTCCGGGGCGAAGGGCGGTCGGTGTGACCCGGGTTATGCAACTACCCCTGGCTTCGTGCGTATCCCCGGTTCCGCGTAAGTCTTGGGGGTGGCTGTTCCTCCACCGTCCCGATAGTCCGCCCCGGGGAGGAGGTGGCGAGAGGAGGGTGTCCCCGGGGTGGTGTCCGTTCTTCCCCTCCCCGTGGCTATGGCAACGTCGTAGCAGTGAGGGGCGGGGCGTGAGCGCCGCCGCCGCCGCTGCTTCCAGCGAGAACTGCATCCGCCCTTTCAGGACTCCGCTACCTCAGGGCGGGCCCGGCGAGTCCCCTCAGCCCCCTGGCTGCGGAGCTGAGGGCGGGCGGTGTCAGGGATGCGCTGCGAGGAGGGAGAGTAGCGAAGGGAACGGGTCTCAGCGGTGAAGGCTGCCGCTGCAGCGGGAAGGGGGCGCGGTGCTTTCTCCAGACGTGCGGTCCTGTTATCTGGGTGATGCCATGTGCAGCGCCGTAGCTTAGCTGCTGAGTTTCACCCGTGAGGACGGACAGCGGTACCCGCTGATGAGCTCTATGTAAAGATACTGTTAAATCCTAATTAGCAAAATGAGAAAATCGGTAAATCCTAACTATACATATATACCTATATTTTATTCAAGACAGAATAACACTCTGGCTCTTCCTCTACAAATATATTTTTGTTGTAGCTGTTCTTAGTGAAAAACAGTCTCTTGATGGCTTCTGCGACTGCTTCACAGCCCTCTCGTAAAAGAACGGTGGCCTCTCACGTGCCTTTCGCAGATCTGTGTTCTACTCTGGAGCGGATACAGACATGTAAATCTCGTCCAGACAAAACCAAGTATTTCAAGGAGTTTCTGGATTCCTGGAGGAAATTCCACAATGCTCTTCATCAAAAAGAGAAAGATGTCACAGATTCTTTTTATCCAGCTATGCGACTTATTCTTCCACAGTTGGAAAGAGAGAGGATGGCTTATGGAATTAAAGAAACTATGCTTGCAAAGCTGTATATTGAACTGCTTCATTTACCAAAAGATGGAAAAGATGCTGCAAAGCTTTTAAATTACAGAACACCTGCTGGCTCACGTGGGGATGCTGGAGATTTTGCAATGATAGCATACTTCGTGTTAAAACCCAGAAGCCCAAAACGGGGCAGACTGACAATAGAGCAAGTCAATGAACACTTAGATGCAATAGCTAACAATAATGTTGCTAAAAACAAGGGTCTCTTAAAGAAAAGTCTACTTCAGTTAATTACCCAGAGCACAGCACTGGAACAAAAGTGGCTTATCCGGATGATTATAAAGGATCTAAAGCTTGGTGTCAGTCAACAAACCATATTTTCCATTTTTCATCCTGATGCTGTTGAACTGCACAATGTCACAACTGATTTGGAAAAAGTTTGCAGACAGTTGCATGATCCCTCTGTCTCACTTAGCGATGTTTCTATCATGTTGTTTTCTGCCTTTAAGCCAATGCTTGCTGCTATTGCTGATGTCCAGCAAATTGAGAAACAAATGAATAACCAGACATTCTACATAGAAACTAAGCTGGACGGTGAACGTATGCAGATGCACAAAGATGGAGATGTATATAAATATTTTTCCCGAAATGGGTTTGACTATACTCAGCAGTTTGGTGCTTCTCCCCTTGATGGTTCATTAACACCATTTATTCATAATGCATTTCAGAGCAATATACAAAATTGCATTCTCGATGGCGAAATGATGGCTTACAATCCTGAGACGCAAACCTTTATGCAAAAAGGAAACAGGTTTGACATAAAAAGAATGATGGAGGACTCTGATCTGCAGACTTGCTTCTGTGTATTCGATGTGTTGATGGTTAATGATCAGAAGTTGGGGCATGAAGTACTAAGCAAAAGGTATGAAATCTTAAGTAGTGTATTTACGCCAGTAACAGGCAGGATACATGTTGTCCACAAAAGAAATGCCAGAACAAGAAAGGAAGTAATTCATGCTTTGAACGAAGCAATAGATGACAGAGAGGAAGGGATTATGGTGAAAGATCCCATGTCCACCTACAAGCCTGACAAACGTGGGGAAGGCTGGTTAAAAATCAAGCCAGAATATGTCGATGGGCTGATGGATGAACTGGACCTGTTAATTGTTGGTGGCTACTGGGGGAAGGGGTCACGTGGTGGGATGATGTCTCATTTTCTGTGTGCTATTGCAGAGACGCCCCGTCCGAATGAAAAACCTACTGTTTTCCACTCTATTTGTCGTGTTGGCTCTGGCTACACTATGAAGGAATTGTATGACCTAGGTTTGAAGCTGGCTAAACACTGGAAGCCCTACCATAGGAAGGACCCTCCCTGTAACATTTTGTGTGGAACTGAAAAACCTGAAATGTACATTGAACCTTGCAACTCTGTCATAGTTCAAATCAAGGCAGCTGAGATTGTTAACAGTGATATGTACAAAACTGACTGTACTTTGAGATTCCCTCGAATTGAGAAGATAAGAGAGGATAAAGAATGGTATGAGTGCATGACTTCAGACATGTTAGAGGATCTCAGGAGCAAAGCAGAAGGGAAGCTGGCATCCAAGCACCTTTATATAGATGATTATGAGCCACAAGAGAAAAAAAGGAAAACTGTATCAAAGGTGAAAAAGATAATCGGAATAGCTGAGCAATTTAAAGCTCCTGATCTTTCTAGTGTAAACAAGATTTCAAATGTATTTGAAGATGTTGAGTTTTGTGTTATGACTGGAACAGAAAGCCACTCAAAGCCTAAACTGGAAAGCAGAATAGCTGAATGGGGTGGCAGCGTGGTACAGAACCCAGGGCCAGAGACTTACTGTGTCATTGTAGGAGCTGAGAATGTCAGAGTGAAAAACATCATTGCTTCCAACAAATACGATGTGGTGAGGGCAGAGTGGCTTCTGCAGTGTTTTCAAGCCAAAATGCTGGTGCCTTGGCAGCCAGCGGTTATGATTCACATGTCACCTGACACAAAAGAACACTTTGCTCGTGAGTATGATTGTTATGGAGACAGCTACACAGCAGACACAGATGTTACACAACTCAAGGAAGTGTTCTCACGAATGAAAGACAATAAGATTATTCCTTTAGACATGATTGCAGAGTTAGAAGAACGTTACTCATGGAACAGCTGTCAGCTCAGTATTTTCAGGGGAAGCATTATTTATGTGGATTGCTACGCTGTTGTTAATGAGCCCAGAACCAAAATCCATGGAACACCACTATCAGTTAGAGCTCTGGAGCTGCGTTTCTATGGTGCAACAGTAGTCTCTCACCTTGAAGAGGGTGTCTCTCATGTTGTTATAGGAGAAGATCATTCCCGGGTAAAAGAAATTAAGACACTCAGGAGAAGATTTAGGAAAAAATTTAAAATTGTATCTGAGCTGTGGGTAACAGAGTCAGTGGAGGAGGAAGTCCCAAAGAATGAAAGTCAGTACTTAATATAAAGCAGTTTTTAACCTTGGAGCAAAAGCATTCTTGCTGGCATGACTGGATTCTAATATTATGATGTTGTCTTAAATCTGTTGTGTATTTTCATGCCTGTTTAGAGTTGGCCCTGGCTAAATAATGACACTGTATTGTTGAAACCAGAGGAAGGCTTTTAATTAAACTGTTGCAGAAGCAAAAGAATGCCAAGCTATGCTGGAGGAGAAAAAAATGACCACAAGATAAATAATGTAAGCCTTTTACTTCACAAACTGGTCTCAGAAGAGATCTAGTATTTTATATAAGAGAATTCTTAGGTATTAATAGTGCTTGCCTCCGTTATTCAAAATGGAGACAATCATTTACTATTTTATGGATTTCTACTATTTAACATACTGTTTATTTATCAGTTTACAGTAACATTCATGTTTTTGTGGAGTTTTGTGTGTTATATATGCTATAGAATTCATTAATTTATAAACCTTGTCTGTACTTATTTTAATTTGTTTACATTGGTTTTAGCATTGAGTCTCATACAAGCCTTTAGTTTTAAGCTATTGCATTGATCCCATGTTTCTTTGTGTAAATAACCACTGTTAAATAGAACATGAACTTTTGACTGAGGTGCTAATTAATAATAATCTATATGTTTATAAAGTGCAAATCAATTACATAAAACTGTAGTGACTTATGCTCATTACAGGTAAAGTTTAACCCTGAAGTGTGGCAGAGCTAGGCTTTTATACTTAATTATAAATTTATTTTTCAAATAATGTTTCATAAGCTATTTTAGTAATGGGGGATTAATTTCCAAATATCCTGTTCAATGTATTGGCTTTTTTTCAACTATTAAATAAAAATCTATTTTAAAGTCTGCCTGGTATTAAACAAAACTGCTCTTAGGCTGATTACACAGAACCAGTTTCAGTGGGGTTTTTTTGGTTCTAGTCATATAAAAAAGTACTGTAAAAAGAATTGGGAAATGGTATATGAAAGGCTAACTGGAAGGAAGTTTAATCTCATTTTCTTACAGTTAGTGCAAACATTAGGGGAGTCATTGTTTTAAATATACTAAACACTTAAGTTTTAATAACCACTTAACCACTCAAGTTATAATACAGTTAAAAAGCAGAATATCTTTTGTATATATGAAATAGTATATGCTGAAAGGCAGTGCATTATTTTTTCTCAGATAATTCAAGTTAGAAAATGGTATATGTGAAGTATAGTACTTCAGTGTTAACTTACTGGGCTGCTTCTGTGTAATGTCATATATTCTGATTTATAATGACAAGAGAGTTAGTCTTCATACCCACACAGATTTCTCTTAAATGGGTTTTAGTAAAATATGTATTTTAGGTGATCTTGGTTAGGAAAGTTAAGAGAAACAAAGACAAATATGAATTATAGCTGACTCTTGAGACATTGTCAAATATCTTGCATTGAGATCTAAATGCTATTTATGGAGAAGTATTTTAAAAGTATTGATTCCACGTTGTCTTTGTGTTCTCTCAAAGATATGTCAGGCTGGGGAATCTAGAACTATTAACTTACCAGCAAAATTGTTACTGTTTTTACTGGCTCCTCAGTACACAGTGTACTTAAGGGTTTTTTTTTATATTTATTTAAACTGAAGGTTTACTTTTTCACAAAAAAAAAAACAACAAACAAAAAACCACCAGAAAACCCAAACCCTTGCAGACGCAGTATGCTGGCTTAGCTTGTTTTATTTTGTATTTTGCCTCAGTTCTATTTAGAATTATAATTTAATTGTTAATCATGCATATTTGTACGTGACATTATAATTAGCATACTGGAGAATGTCAAGCAACTTAGGTGTGTATTTATTCTTTGGTTACTGTTTGGCAAATTTCCATTTACTTTAAAATGTTGAATAGGAAATGCTGTACTTGATAACATTAGCATAAAAAGAGAATCTTGCTACAACACTGTGAAAATACAGGCATTATAGGTCGGGTTTTCTTTTGAAATGTTTCTTTTACATGGTGACTTGGATGGATTGAATGTTTCTATGGATGAAACTGGACCCAGCTGTTATTAAAGTAAGTATCTAGAATGGAAGCCATGGGACAGGAGAATCCCTGGATCCTCTAAGAAAAGATAGTCTCATGGAAGAAAGCAGTGATGGAAAAATAGGAGAAGTGGGGAAGAAGTTTGTGGAAATTTTGATTTGTACTGAAGGAACAAAATTATTTCAAAAGTAAGAATATGTTGTCCAGACACAAAAGTTTTTCTTAAAAAGCCAAATTAATTAGTGAGGTGTGCAGAGAATTTCAGGCATGATGTCTGAAGATGAATGTAAGACTTGACTTGTAGGTAGCAGTAAAAGCAGATGTGGACCAAGGAAGTGAGAACAAAAAGTTGCCTTTGTTTTGGTCAGTCTAATGAAAAAAAAAATAAAACTAGCTTTTATTATTAGTCAGTCATCATCCATTAAAACAGTGTTTGAGAAAGAGGAAAAGCTGGAGTCAAAATGCTGAATTATTCACCTCATGTTTTAACTTCAAGAGGACCTCCTCTGATGACAGTATCAGCTTATTGTATTTTTTATTGCTGTAAATACTCCTGTTTATTATGTTTAGAACTTTGACAGTAAGTGTTTTGTTGAAGATTTCTTAGGTTATTCACATTTTGTGCAAAGCTGTCTTGGGGTTTTTTGTGTGGTTTTTAATAGGCATTTGGCTTGAGAGCAAGCCTTTCAATTTCCATTTTAATATAAAGTTTTACATTTATTTAAAGATTATGTTCCTGAAGAAGTGGGAAATGAAGAGAAAAAGGGACTGTAGGCCTTGCAGTTTTGGGGAAATAGAGAAAAGTTTTGATAGTGTTCCTACTGACTAGCTTTTAAGTGGCACTTTTCAAGAATGCTGCCAGTGATGGAGAAGAGTGCAACTGTCAGGACCTGCTGCAGCAGGACATCTAGGGAAGTCACAGTTTCTTGATCCTTTCCTTCTAGAGGCCACCCTTCCCTTTTGGTACCAACTCAAGACACTAGTTTCTTGATCCTTTCCTTCTAGAGGCCACCCTTCCCTTTTGGTACCAACTCAAGACACTCTTGGATTGGAATCAAGCTGACCCTTCACAGCTTCTCCTGTTTCCAGCCTTCAGTTATGACAGCTTTTGCAACAGCATTGCTGCTGCAGTTCCCTCCAGCTTGTCTCCCTTTGCCTTGGCTGCAGCTCTGATGTTTCAAACTGGTGTCCTCAGCATGCACCCTCCATTGCACTTACCAGTACTGCTGTGCTGTGAGGATTTATTTGCACTAACCAGGGAAGACAGAGACAGAGAGAGAGATGTAGATAGAGATGTAGAGACATAGAGATGATATAGCTATAGATACAGAAGAGTGCGTTTCTGTTTGTATGTGTTGTTTTTAACTTCTCGTTTCCAAGAGATGATTGTGCTCACTTTCTACCTGATCTGGGCAGAGGCAGTAGCATTTTCTACTTTTGTATGTGAAAAACAGATGTTTTGCCTGAAATAAGTTTGTTCAGACAGCCACAAAACTTTCTCATTTCAGACAGGAATGCAGCTGGGGCTGTCTTCTGCAGCGTACAGCAACATCTCCAGTAACAAACTCGGTGACTTTCCCCTTCCCCCCCTCAATAGACACCTCAGGAAATAAGCCCATGGCAGAGAGACCAGCAGTCATTCTGCATTTCAAGGATTTGAACAAATGTGCTGGGGGGATTTATTGCCAATCTCTAAATCTCTGTCCTCTCTACAGTACCCTTACGTGATACTTAGCTGAGGTTTTTTAAGCTGTTCTACACAACTAAGTCAGTTACTTGTTTTTCCTGAGTTTTGCAGGGAAAAGCTGCTCACTCCACGCGGTTAAACTGAACTGGGATTAAAACACTTGAGCTATCGAGAACATGGAACTAGGCAGCAGTCAGTGAAGTGTTGCATTCAAGTAGTACTACAAGAGGTAAATCCCCAAAGTAGACACATGAATGTTAATAAACACAAGCAAATATCTAAACACCCTGTGTAACAAATGCAGAAGAGATTTCTGAAATAATTCTTTCCAAGAAGACTTCACCATAAGCAGCGTAGCAGCAAATGCCACTTGGTGTATTGATAAGGAATGGTGAGGAAATCCTGCTGTCTACGTTTCTGCAAAGTTCATGTAGAGGGAACCAAAACCCATTTCTTTCACCTCTGGGATCACCACACTCAAGTGACTGTACGTGATATAAACACCTTTATTGATACAGCCTGAACACACAAATTAATTTACAGGGACACCCAGCAGAGGTGCCAAGTGTGTGGCCTCCATGGGCAGACACATCCCCCTGGGCACAGGCACTGCCTCAGGGCCAGCACCCCAAAGGCCTTTCTCCAAGGGATGCTGGGCAAAGGGGCAGCAGCAGGGCTGCAGAGGGCAGGGCTGTGGGGGCCCTGTCACCCCTGTGTCATAGTGCCACCATTCACCAACGCAGCATCACAGTGCTCTGGGGCAGTATAAGGCAGCGTCCTCCTGTGCCGGAGTGCCCAGCTTTGCCACCAGGGCAGAGCTGGCAGCCTGAAGGCCCCCGATAGGAATTCCTCGAGGTACCAGTGGAATTACTTGGAGGGGCAGAGGGGGGAAGACTGCCCGAAGCTGCTGGAGGTGCTCTGCAATTCCAGCCCCTGGAGGGGCCACACACACAGCTCATTGGACAGGTGGAAATTCTGCTTCAGTCTTTGGGGAACTCGCCATCCTCATCTTCTCGGGTGATAGTGGCAGCAGCCATAAGAAATAGGATCGACAGATGGCCCAGTGCCCTCCCCCGGTGCTTTGGAGCTCCCGCTGCCAGGCACAGGAAAGATTCTTGCCCCTAGGGTTGATCAGGGCAAGGGCATTTTGCTGTTGCTGGAAGCCCCTGAGATGGCTCCAGGTGGAGGCAGAAAAGGCAGTGCCAATGTCCCCTTAGAGGCATAACCAGCCCATGGTTATGCTGCAGGCTATGCATGTGCATCGTGTTAATGCTTGTGGGCATCAGCTCTGAGAGTTTTAATCTAAACTAGATTAAATATTAAATTTAGATAAAATAGAATCTAAACTAGACTAACTAAACTAAGATAAATAACTTTATTTATAAATAAATAATGTACTCTTTCCTCCTGTAACCTGTCCGATTTGTGTCTTTGAGTGTTTTTGGTGCTGAAAACCCCTTGGCATTTCAGTTAAATAATGGTCTCATCATTACACAACTCATTGTGAGTGCAGGGAATGGAATGGAGCAGAATAGAACAGCTATGTTATGTTACGCACACAGTCCTGGCATGACAAGCTCTGACGCAGGTCAGAGAGGCTATCTGCAGTGCAGGTCCCAAGGGACGCCGGTCCCAGGCATTGAGGCCTATGAACACCCTCTGGACCCTGACAGAAATAGAAGCTTGTGACCCGTTGCACAGTTTGGGCCTGGAGCAAGCAGTGCTGCGCCCTCTCTTCTGACATCTTTTCGCTACTGACAGCGTCCGGCAGCTCAGCCCCTGCTGCAGGAGCACCTCCACCAGGGAGCACCGAGTGCAGCCCTGCCCGTTGTGTACGCTCGCCTCAGGAGACCAGTGCAGGCACTTTCTATACCTCGAGCTCTGCGCGGCAGCCTCGCCTCTCATCAGCTCTGTCTGGTGCCAACGTGGCCACCGCCGGGGCAGCCAGAACAGAGCTCCCACACTGGGCCCTGGCCCTGAGACGAGTCCCGCAGCCCGCAGCCCGCAGCCCGCAGCCCGCAGCCCGCAGCCCGCAGCCCGCAGCCCGCAGCCCGCAGCCCGCAGCCCGCAGCCCGCAGCCCGCAGCCCGCAGCCCGCAGCCCGCAGCCCGCAGCCAACCCCAACTGCCGCCCAATCCCACGCGCTGCTCCCGCTCTCCCCCGGGGCGGGTTTTCCCCGCTCAGGGCGGGACCGTCCCTCCTGGCTCCACCCCCCTGTGAGTCCTTGCTCGCCTCCGCGGAGCTCCAGGCTCCTGGGCAAGGGGCGGCGAGGCGTCGAGGTTCTCTCGGTGGCTCTCGCCGCTCAGAACTGAGGCTCCTGGACGGGGGGTTTCCCCTCGCTCCTAGGTTGAAGGCTCGTCTCTGGGGTTGCTCACCTTGGCAAATCGTTTAGGAAATTTAGGTTAGATACAAGGAAGAAATTCTTTACTGTAAAGGTGGTGAGGCACTGGAACAATTTGTCCAGAGAAGTTGTGGCTGTTCCATCTCTGAAAGTGTTCCAGGTTGGATGAGGCTTTGAGCAACCTGGTATAGTGGTAGGTTGCTTATGGTAGGGGTTTGGAACTATGTGATCTTAAGGTCCTTCCAGCCAACTATGCTATGATTCTATGTTGCATCTATGAAGCGCAGTTTTCAGAGCTGAAGTTGCCAGAAATAAGATACCAGGGAAGAAAGGATTGTTACATACAGAATGAGTGTATGGTATAATGGGTTGTGTATTCCACTCCCTTCCTCAGACTTGCTCGGGATAGAACAAATATACATAGTCCATTTCAGTGGAGAATTGTCCTATTTGGAAAGGTTAACTACGATAGTACAATCAGTGTTTAGAAAGTTCAAATTAGCCTTTTGAGGTAGATTTAGGTAGAAGGGATTTGGTATTGGTGGGGTTTTTTTTGTTTGGTTTTTGTTTGTTCTTCTGTGTGTGTGTGTTGGTTTGTTTTTTTCGTTTTTTTTTTGTTTGTTTGTTTGGTTTGTTTTTTGATAGAAGCACTTGTGATTCTGATTTATTTCCTTTGGTTTTGTTTTTTTTTTTTTGTCCAGCATTATGATTTCTTGTAGGTTATATAATGTAGTTTCTTACAGGGCTAGCTTGGTGGACAAGGGGAGAACACTAGATATGGTTTATCTCAACTTTAGGAAGGCTTTTGACACTGTCTACTCTAATATTCTCATAGCTGATGACGTATGGGCTAGAAAATTGAACAAGGAGGTGGACTGAAAACTGAACTGCCAGGCTTGAAGAGCTGCCATCAGCAGCCCAGGTACAGGACAAGAGGCAATGGGCACAAAATGAAATGGGGGAAATTTTGTTTAGGAAAACATTTAACCTTCCTTCATCCAGAGGTGCTTAAGAAACAGCTTCTTTCTTGCAGTGGTAGACTTTGCAAACATAAACGCTACTCCAGAACAGTCTGAATCTCTGTGGGCAAGGGGTCTCTAAAGAGGAGGTAGGATTTCTCCGCACTCTTGCACATGGCAGCTTCCTCGTGCAGCCCATACATTACAGCCTGCCTTTCCTCTGCAGGCTTTGCTACAGCAGCAACCAGGGGAACATGTTCTTTCAAATACATGTTCTCAGCCTTCGCAGCTTATACTGCAGTTAATGAGCCAACAGTCTGGTCACAGGCAGGTGTATAAATGGGTCGTGTGTGTGTGTGTGTGTGCGTCTGTGCATAGATACATGTATTCAAGTAAAAGTAACAGATGTGTAACGGGTAGTTTCGGTTTACTTTTTGTGGTTGTTTTTTTTCCTCCCTGTGCTCCCGCAGCTTCTCCCCAGCCTCAGCTTCTTTTGAGTAGTGTATTATAGATTTTGAGTACCAGATCTTGTGCTGCCAAAGCAGAATGATTTTATTCATCCAGTTTAAAGCTGGTTTGTGTACCTCTGTTATGCTTCAGTCTATTCTATGAACATGCTCATATATGATTATACCACACATAATTATGTCTTTTTTTAATAATAATGAAATAATAAGAAATTAAATATTATCCAAGACAAAAATTAATATGAAGGTGACAGGTGTCACATTGTTCAAGTCTCTAAACATGGTTGTATGAACAAAATAGTAATAAACAGGATAGCCAGTTTTGCTGATTCCATCTAGCTGTAACTGAAATATAGCAGGTGCTGTGGATAGACTGCCTGACACAGCAACCAGGGCAGAGCAGTGGGATCACATGCGTTAACAGCATCAACAAAGTTAATAAATAAAAGACAGATAAGAGAAAGAAAAAATAAAATTTTACTCCTTTTTTTTTTTTCTGACTTACGTGGTAACTCTAGAAGCTTTTTTTTTTTTTCTGTGTTGATATATCTAAATTCTTATGCTTGATGAAGAGCTTTTGAAGCACACTAACTACTGTATGCAGATCTCATATGAATTCCTGGCAGATACTCCATAAATGCCGTATGAGGTGTGGTACAGGTAATAGTAAAAAATTTAACACCAAAATATTTAACTTTTTTTTTTTTTTAGTGATTGGGGGATATAAAGGAACATGTTGTCACTAGGAAGAGACCTGAGTCTTAATAAATAATCGGAAAAATATTCTGCTGTGCATGTTTTGGATTACTTGCCTTCCTGATCTGTATTTTTGGCAGACACAGCCAATTCAACCTTTCCAAAATCATGATTACATTTTCTCCCATAGTGCACTATCTTTTAGTGTAAAGTGCATTTAGGTTTACATGGTATTTGTCTCTACATGCATGAATGCACATGCTTTACGGTGGGTCATCTTTGTTTACTAATTCTGGTCGGACTTACACAATTCCATGGTTATGTTGGGGTGCTGAATGCCTGAGCTACTGCCCAGGCATGGACTGTGGCTCCTTATGAGTTGTTCACTTCCACTTCCATCTTCTTCCTTTAAGTTTTTTTTTTTCTTTTCCACATTGGTGGCTTTTCCTCCTGAATCCTTGAGCAGCCACAGTTTCAATAATCCTACCTCTGTGGGAAATTTTACTTTCCTTATATCTCATGGCTCCACTCTATGGATATTGTCACAGCTCTTTCTCACACCTTAGCAATTTCCTGAGAAGTCTGAGCCAGGTTTCCCTACCAGAGCTAAGCCTTGGATTCTTGAAACACAGGCATCAGTAATCCTACAAGGAGGGAGCAGAAGCTGTAAGAAGAAGATAAAAAGTGGCTACATTCATAAAGCATATATATATATATATATTTTATATATATATTTAACGGCACTTGAAAGGCAACAATTTTTTTTTTTTTATTCAGGGAAAAGCTACATGCATTAAGTGCTGTGTGTAGTAAAATCAGTTTACTGGAGATTTCCTTTTTTCCTTCAGTAGAAGAATATTAAGTTAAAGGGAGAAATCAGGTGGAAATTGAACGGAGCTGCAACTTATTAAGAGTCAAACCTTTTCACACAGAAAGCAGGTTATTCACTTGCTGCCTCTGCCTCCCTTCACATTTTTAATCAAGTTGCCTGAAAAGAATGAGCATTGAGCAATCAAAGTGTGAATGTCTGTGTCTGTGTCTATTCATATCTAATAATTTATGAACCAACCATCCAGGTCTAAACAAATTTCACAAAGGAATAGTGATATCCCTCTCTCTCCCCACTCATCTGCCCAAGCTCCAGTATGGTAGGGTCTGAGCAGAAGAGAAGGCATTAATGACCTCTGTGAGAGAAACGGCTTGTTAACCCATCCTGGAAAGAAATGATACAGATTTTTCAGATGCTGAAAGAACTCCCCCCTGTTTTTTCGTTTTCTCATGAAGGCGGTCCACCCAAGGCTCAGCAATACAGAAACAAGTTTCTTTGGTTGTGACACTGACTCCCCTGCTCCAGTCTGCTGCTAAGTGTTCACATGAAGAAAGAACTACGAATGCCCAGCCACAGGAAAAATCTCATACTTCATTAAGCATCAAAGTATCTAATCAGTAATCCACAAAACTCTTTGAAATCACTTTTATCTGGTCCTGTTGCTTAGAGAACTATGTGTGCTCAGCATTGCTGCAGTGTGTGATGCATCCTGATGCGCACCGCTCTCACAAATGCTATAATTCTTATTTACTCTGTTTATGCAGGGTCTCAGAACCTGGCAGACTCCTTCTAGGTAATGATCTGCTGTAACCTGGTGCTGTTTGTCATTTTTATTTAGTAAGAAAGATACTAAAAATGCAGTGCTCTCACATCCTTTTTATGAATATTCAGTGAATTCAAATCCTGTGGAAATAAAAGAAGAGTACTCATATCAGAAGGCAATTTCCACCTGGATAGAAAGAGACAAGGATGAGAGAAGTAGACTGATAGACCAAAAACCGTTCCACCGGTTGTTCCTTTTAGTTTAATAAATCAAATAATTGCCAAACTCACAGCATAGGAAGGATGATTTTATCAACAGACATCCCCAGCGAAATTGTATGATTCAGTTATATTTTCGTTTAGATGGTATTCCAGTGCTTCACTAAAGTTACTGGATATTTTAGCAGGATGAAGAGCTGCTGCAGCATTCAATCCTGCAGGAGAACTATTTTATATTTTTGTTGGTGATGCAGTTTCAGAGTATTCATTTTTCTCAGGACAATGCAGTTTCTTCCATATAAACTTTAGGGCATGGGATTCAGCCCAAGACTTTGGTGTTGCTGTACTTTTCTTGAAATGGTCATAATAATATGTCACTGAAAAGCAATTTTTTACAAATCGGTCTTCAAGATCCAAACTTATGTAAAAGCAGGTATGATAATTCCTTCTTTACCTTGTTCCTGCATGATTTTGATAATGTCACAGTGTCGTACTGCCAGCTCTGATATTCCTGTGTTCAAGAGGTATATCTGTGTTCTCCATGGTTCACAGTGTAATGTTTTTTTACACTAATAATGGCAGCTTTTGTTTAAGGAATAGTTAAAAGAGCTATAGGGCATAGATTTGAGAATGCAAAAGTAAAAATAAAAAGGTATATTCCTATGGATAAAGAGCAGTTCCCAAACTCATCTCCTGATAAAAGAATGCCCACTTTACTGTGCAAAACTTGGTGATGTGATCCATAGAATAAGCTAAAATTTATTGATGGTATTGGAAACAGATGTAGTAGCTAATACCAAAATTAATTGTCCCAGGAGAAGCAAACTCAAGAGGAAACACCCTTGTGCTGCGAATGATTTAAACATTAATGAGTACATGTTCATTAACAGTGATGATTGTCAGCACTTAAAACAGAATAAAACATCAATGTCTTTTTTTAAAGACACTCATAAAGCAAATTCTACAGCAATCAGAGTTGCATGAAAGTACTTAAAAATGAATAACAATCAAATCAAACAATGACTGGGGTTGCTTTTTTCTTTTTTGACTGGGTGTTCTTGTGCTCTGTAATCCAGTATCACTGACAGCAGCTGGCTCTGAATGCAGACAAAAGATTCCTTATGAATACAGAGTTGACTAAGTCTTCTGATAAATCAACTTAGGGAATACATTTGTACATGAAAATTTAGCTGACATATAACAGAATGCACTGGAGTAACATAACTTTAACTTCCTGAGCACAAAAATAAAGCAAAATTGCTACTCTTTATGTTTTTGAAATTATGATGATTACTTAGGATCTGTAAAGATTAAATGAATGAAGTACGTAATCCATGGTTCTTGAGTCATCAGTCAGCATTCCCAAGTGCAGCACTGAACAAGACCAGGGTATGAACTAAAGCACTACAGGAGTGAAACATTTAATCAGAAAATCCATGTTTAAAAGACACTGATCAGCTTGTACAGGCTGGCCTCTAGCTCCGAATTTGTAGTAGGTCTAATGCTCTGTGAGTTTGCATGTTATATCATTGGTTGGAAATGTGACGCTCCAGGGTAGCCTTGGTTGCGGCGATCACGAGATGGTCAAATTCGAGATCCTCAGGACAGTGAGAAGAGCGTGCAGCAAGCTCACTGCCCTGGACTTTGAGAGAGCAGACTATGGCCTCTTCAGGAACCTGCTTAGTAAGGTTCCATGGGATATAGCCCTAGAGGGCAGGGGGGCCCAAGGCTGTTGGTTGATATTCAAGGATCAACTACTACAAGCTCAGAAGTGCTGCATCCCAACTAGAAGGAAGTGCAGCAGGAGGGTCAGGAGACCTCCTTGGATGGATAAGGACCTGCTGAGGAAAATTCAAAGGAAAAAAGAGCCTTATAAAAGGTGGAAGCAAGGACAGGCAGCCTGGGAAGAATATGGGGATGTTGTCTGGGAAGCTAGGGACCAGGTCAGGAAAGCTAAGGCCCAGTTCGAATTAAATCCGGCAAGGGATGTGAAAGATAAAAGGAAGGCATTCTATGGATACATTGCAAATAAAAGACAGACTAGGGACCATGTAGGCCCCCTCCAGAAGCTATCAGGAGAACTGGCTACCCTGGATTTGGAGAAGGCTGAGGTTCTCAATGACTTCTTTGCCGCAGTCTTCGCTGGCAAATGCTCTGACTAGACCACCCAAGTCTTGGAAAGCAGATGCAGGGACTGTGAGAATGAAGACCTTAGGCCCATTGTAGGAGAGGATCTGGTTCGAGACCATCTTAAGAGCCTGAGCGTACAAAAGTCCATGGGAACAGATGAAATCCATCCATGGGTCCTGAAGGAGCTGGCAAATGAAGTTGCTAAGCCATTGTTCATCATGAAGTTCCTGATGACTGGAAAAAGGGTAATATAATCCCCATTTTCAAGAAGGGGAAAATGGATGACCTGGGGAATTACAGACCAGTCAGTGTCACCACTGTGCCTGGCAAAATCTTGGAGCAGATTCTCCTGGATGGCATGCTAAGGCACATGAAAATCAACAAGGTGCTTGGTGACAGCCAGCATGACTTCACTAAGGGAAATCCTGCCTGACCAATTTAGTAGCCTTCTATGATGGGGCTGCGGAACTGATGGACAGGGGTAGAGCAGTTAATGTCATCTACCTGGACTTGTGCAAAACGTTTAACACTGTCCCACAAGACATCCTTGTCTCTAAATTGGAGAGACATCAATTTGATAGGTGGACCACTCGGTGGATAAAGAAGTGGCTGGATGGCCACACACAAAGGGTTGTGGTCAATAGCTCAATGTCCAGCTGGAGAACAGTAACGAGTGGCGTCCCTCAGGGATCGGTGTTGGGATCGGTCTTGTTCAACATTTTTGTCGCTGACATGGACAGTGGGATTGAGTGCGCCCTCAGCAAGTTTGCCAATGACACCAAGCTGTGTGGTTCGGTTGATGTGCTGGAGGGAAGGGATGCCATCCAGAGGGACCCTGACACACTTGGGAGGTGGGCCAATGCCAACCTCATGAAGTTTAACCATGGGAAGTGCAAGGTCCTACACCTGAGTCAGAGCAATCCCAGGCACAGCTACAGGTTGGGCAGAGAAGAGATTCAGAGCAGCCCTGTGGAGAAGGACTTGGGGGTGTTGGTTGATGAGAAAATAAACACGAGCCAGCAGTGTGAGCTCGCAGCCCAGAAAGCCAACCGTATCTTGGGCTGCATTGAAAGGAGCATGACCAGCAGGTAGAAGGAGGTGATCCTGCCCCTCTATTCTGCTCTCGTGAGACCTCACTTGGAGTATTGTGTGCAGTTCTGGTGTCCTAAACATAAAAAGGACATGGAACTGTTGGAACAAGTCCAGAGGAGGGCCACGAGGATGATCAGGGGACTGGAGCACCTCCCATATGAAGTCAGGCTGAGGAGGTTGGGGCTGTTCAGGCTGGAGAAGGCTGAGTGGAGACCTCATAGCAGCCTTCCAGTATCTGAAAGGGGCCTATAGGGATGCTGGGAAGGGACTATACATTAGGGACTGTAGTGATAGGACAGGGGGTAATGTGTTAAACAAGGGAAGTTTAGATTGGATTTAAGAAAGAAGTTCATTACTGTGAGGGTGGTGAGGCACTGGAATGGGTTGCCCAAGAAATTTGTGAATGCTCCATCTCTGGCAGTGTTCAACGCCAGGTTGGACAGAGCCTTGGGTGAGATGGTTTAGTGTGAGGTGTCCATGCCCATGGCAAGGGGGTTGAAACTGGATATCTTAAGTTCCTTTCCAACCCTAACTATTCTATGATTCTATGATTCTATCATTCATATTTTCTAAGTCCTTTGACATTATTATCCTCATTTTGTTAAAGTTGCAAAATGGGGTTCAGCTATTATAAGCTCACTTCAAGGCTAATTAGCCCTGCAAACCTGAGAGACCTGTTTAATTGCTACCAAAAGCTACTAAAGCTTTGTGAGTTCCTTGGTACATGATCTTAAAAAGCATTTTGTCTCCTGCTACTGAATATGGACTTCAGCATCTCAGTTTTCACAGCACTGAGTACTGCTAATGAAGGCTGATAAGAATCTATAAATGCTATACCCATCTCTCTGCAATGGCTCAACCCAGTTAGTGCTTCACAGTGAGTGTACTGGTGTGAGTTCAGCCTGACATGGAATGAAATTCACTGTTTCTTTAAAGTGAGGCTGGTTCTTGTCAAAACATTGGCATGCAGGATATGGGTGACCTGTGTTGTATATCCTGTGGTTGAGAGGCTGCAGGCTCACTTGTTCCAGCTTTCCAAGGAAACACAGATTGTGCAAGGGGCCACGTGTTATTGTAGGCATTCCTCCTTCTTCCTACCTGAAGAAGTTGTTCAGGACCACTGTGTTGCCAGCTCTGCTTCAAGAGCTGTTTATGCATTTCATGCATTAACAGCTTAATGCAGAATGTATAAATAAGCCTTCACAAATGGATTCAAATGCAGAGCTTCTGCATTCTAAACCATCACAAATCTAATGGATTAAATTGCCACTGTGCATATATTTTTGTTTAGAAATATTATATATATATATAACATGCATATATGTATATACATATTGTACACATATATACATGTTGTATATATATGTATAGATGTATGCAATACATCTATATATGTATATATATGTAAATATATATATACATCTATTTGTATGTATGTATGTACACACATATGTCCTCCTACAGAAGAGGTCCTAGCTGTAGTTTTTAAGTTTTTAACTAGATGGAAATGCCTCTGGATAGCCTAGAGTCCTGTGTCTAAGCCCTGGAGGTAGGTGACCTCTCAGGCACACTTACGTCCTTGCTTACTTGGTGATGCCTCCTTAGTAGTCAAAGCAGAAAAAGCAATCCTTTGTCTGCATGCACCTGTGTACAGTTTTGTTTCTTTATGCCTTTATAAATACTAAGAAAAGCATTAAAGATTCTCAGAGCTTCCAAGAGGTATTCAGAGACAAGTCACTTCTGACTAATGTATAGAAAGAATTGCAAAATATTCGTGATATAAATCAAGAGTTAAAATCTAAATTGACCTTGCTGTCATATAGAAAAAAAAAACAAGTTATTGCGTTTATAGAATTCACATATTAATAAAAGGAAAATAAAAAATAAGAGAAACACATCTGTATACTCATCTTTATGTTTTGTACATCTGTATAAGTATTGCTTTTAAATTAGAAAGATGTTGGTTTACATCAGAATGCTGACTTTTGAGAAGAGCATCACATATTCTGATGGTATCATCAGTGAAGAAGCGGTGCATCTGCAATAATAATTGACCTTTTCTATTTTCTGCATTTCAGAGAGCTTGAAGATATATTGCTCTTTCATTGCTGAAAATGCCTTTTCTGATTTTGCTAAGTCAAATCAACACAAGCAAATAACCCCATGTTAGTTAGTGCATTGAGAGCAAACAATTTCATATATGTGTCATCCTTGTAATAGACAAAAAATCAGAAGCTGTCAAAAAAGGCAAAGGAATTCAGTGCTTTGGCTTGTAGCATTTTTGTTGCTCTCATCCTGCCAACTGCTTAAGCGTGTGGCCAATTTTTAGAGTGGGAGCAGTTCTACTGATTCATGTATTTTCAAATTTATTTTTAAAAAACATGTTATTAAGCATGTGTAATATTGGATTAAAATTTTAAATTTTGCTTTCACATCTGTTATGAACATATTATTCTGGACATCCATACGCACACACGATATTTAAACCAAGCCTTTAACTTACAGCAGTCAAGCTTGCCCGGCTATTGACTTTGATTGAATGGTACTGTCTCACACTAGCTGTGATCAAACTATTTAGTTTAGAGCACAGTCAAATTTGGGTGGATTTGGTTGACAGATCCTTGTGGGTAAAAGCAGAAAGCAGTGTGGAAACAATTTCCTTGTCAGACAGTATTTTTGGAGACAACCTGCAGAGTTCAGCAGAACAGAAACAGCAGCAGTAAAACTGAAAGGCAAGTAATCTATTCTCCTCTCTGTTTTGACTAAACCAAAGCAAAATAAAAGGAAAAGTAGAAAGATTTTAACTAAAAGAGATCCTCTTGACTAATATTTGTCTGACAATGAAAGAAGATGTACTTGCTTTAAAAGAATATGTACTGCCACAGAGGTGCTATCAAACACATGTACTCATAAATATTAAAATATTTAATTTATGAGGCATCTATGTAAACCTGCTTCATAAATTGTAAGACACCTATAGAGAGAATAGAAGGGGAAGGAAAATGCTTCAAGATGAGGCATGTCTCAACAAACATTATGGTTATTAAGTGATAACAAGATGACAGAAAATGGCCTAGATATTTCAGAGATATGGCATCTATCCAAAGAGTAAGACAGTAAGACAGAGGCAATTACAAAAGTAGAACTAAAGTAGAAGTGAAGTTTGCTTAACTTCCATCTCCCAAAGAAAATATTGGTATTTCTGGGCCATTGTTTTACAGTCATTCTTCCTTTTTTCTTTCTTTTCTTTTCTTTTCTTTTCTTTTCTTTTCTTTTCTTTTCTTTTCTTTTCTTTTCTTTTCTTTTCTTTTCTTTTCTTTTCTTTTCTTTTCTTTTCTTTTCTTTTCTTTTCTTTTCTTTTCTTTTCTTTCTTTTCTTTTTTCTTCTTTTCTTTTCTTTTCTTTTCTTTTCTTTTCTTTTCTTTTCTTTTCTTTTCTTTTCTTTTCTTTTCTTTTCTTTTCTTTTCTTTCTTTTCTCTTTTCTTTTCTTTTCTTTTCTTTTCTTTTCTTTTCTTTTCTTTTCTTTTCTTTTCTTTTCTTTTCTCTTCTCTTTCCTTTTCTTTCCTTTTCCTTCCTTTTCTTTCCTTTTCCTTTTCCTTTTCCTTTTCCTTTTCCTTTTCCTTTCCTTTTCCTTTTCTTTTGAAAAAGAAGCATCTTACACCAAAATAGGTGGATATTTCTTTTTCATGTTCAAAAGGAGTGAATAACTAATTGTTGTGTTTGTTCTTAGTGCAGTGCAGTTTCTAGCATTGCGCATCATGGAACAACACAGTATTCCCAAAAATATATAGTAGTCAAAATATAGGACAGGTATTTAAGGGAACAGACAGTATTAGGGTTCATGTTTAAGATAAGAAGGATCACTGTTTTAAAAATAGATATGGAAGACAGAGTGGACAAAGAAAGGAACTCAATTTAGGGACAAAACCAGTAGAACCAACAGATTGAGAAGAGACAGATCAATAATGAAATGGGGAAAGACTGCGCAAAAAGATCAGAAAAAACTGAGGTAAGAATTACTGTAATTAATGGCTAGGGAAAGGAGGCATGGCCAACAGCTCCATTACATTGTATGCTACAAAGAAGTTTCTTTTACTCAGTTTGGTAACCTAAAGTTTTCAGCCATAATTTCTTCTCTCATAGAAAAGTCTTACTGTCAGAAGTATCTCAGAGAATGACAAAGAGCACAAATCACTTGAGTCCCCCAGCAACCTCTTTGCTTGTAGTCTTTCTTGAATCTCTCTTTACTTCAGTTTATTAAGCTAATTCTGACTCAAAGGTGACTCACAGTGTGACACTGAAGGAATCCTGACTAAGGAGGGTATGCAAGTAAATCCAACAGATAGCCTTTCCTTTCCTCATTCACCAACAGATGAAAGGAGAGAGCTCCAGATTTCCTGGTGCGGTGAATCCCAGGCAGCACATACCATTTCCTACAATGTTCAGGACAGACAAGTCCTAAGTGAGTTGTGTACCAGCATCTTTCCAGGGATGACACCTGCTGGCACTGCCACTGGTGGTGGTAATGCTCAGACAAAAATGCTTGGGATGCTCTGCTCTAAGGAGGAAGGCAATGGAGCTTTTGAAAGAATGCATGAACATATGGCAAAATGTTTTGACATTGTAACAAGTAGAAAAGGGGAGCTTTGAGAGTTACTAAACCATAAGGAAATCAATCAAGTCTAGCAAGATAATGATTATGAATGAAAGATTTGGTCTATAAATACAGTGGGAGAAAAAAGAAAAAACGAAGAGAGACATTAGAGGAGAAAAAGAAAAGGCATTCCATTCTGGAAAGGCTATGCCTGAAATGACACCTGAAGTCACCAAGAAAAAATATGTCCAGAGGCTGCCTTAAATGTTGGCCTGGACAAATGGAGAAAAGAATGAGAGGAGTAGTTTTGATGGGTTAGTGGGTAAAACAGTGTGAGCAACTGAAGTTGCTAAAGAAAAGAAAAAGTAAAGTGGCAAGACCAGTGTCATAAATAACAAAGAAAATGAATAATTTTATGATTTATTTATTTATTGTTGTTGTGGATAATAGCATTTAGAACTAAACACATTTTTCCTGTTGTTTGCATGGATAGGTTGTGAAAAAGCACACAGTGGCCTGAGTGATTGGTTGCAATAGGGTGGTAAAGCCTTTTCATGTTTTTGGCCAAATGCTAGCTGTGCCTTAGCTACACTCTAACAAGTGTTAACATCCTATCAGGATACCTGTATGGGCTTGTGAGGGAACTGGTGTCCTAGTCCTGCTGTGTGGGGCTGCCTTATTGATGAGATGAAGATGTAGGGAAGTACCCAGCCCTGGCACTACTGTTAAAATCATATTTCCCTTGTGGATATGCTCAGACTATCCTTGGAGTGGAAGAACCATTTCCCTGCTGCCTGGCCTACAATGAAACCTCAGTGAAACGTATGGTGCAAGGCCAGCAGCACAGGAGAAAGTAGCTGGATCTTCACTTCATAGGCTCCTCTGTTCCTACCAATCTTCAGCTGTGGTTATGTCACCAAAAACATCATCTGTTAGGAAAAAGTTTTCCTTGCTGGGCTTTACTCTGCTGCTGCCATGGGCAGGAGGAGAAGGGAGTCTAGAGAGAGCTGCTATTGCCTTCTCTTGTTCTTATACTCTGCTAGCTCCTGCTGCACCACAGCAGTTTCCTACACTGTGGAAACACCAGAAATGTGTTTTCTCAGCTCCAGACATCAGAGTAAAATAAGCCTTCAGCCAGGTCCAGCTCAGCAAGGGGATAACTCTGTTCTTCATCACTGCCTGGCAGCCCACGTCCGGTGTGAAGTTAGGCTCCCTGCATGGACTGAGAAGACGGAAAATTGACGCTGCAAGACAGCCATGTACTGGAAAGATTGCAGCAGGGACAAGATGTTTGGGATGGTTTCTTGATGAAAAGCAACCTGTATAAACTAGAACAGAAACTGGATTTGCTGCAGGACAATGAGCTTACCTTTTCATATTAGCTCCTTTTGTCCTTTTATTCTCTAATGCAGTGGTAAGTACTACATATACACAAGCATACTTATTAATACAACGTAAATCTCTTCCTGCTTTATTTCTCTTCTCCCCTAAACTCAATCCCCTTTTTTACCTTCAAAATCTTGCGTATACATAAGGACCATTTTCCAGATTGTGAGAAACAGTCTAAGCCACTGACTTGATAGCACTTGCATGAATTTATGCCTGCTGAGGATTTGGCAGAAGAGTTGTTTACACATAATTCAGCTTCTTAATTGGAGGCAGACAAACATACCAGGAAGAAAACAAAGAAGCACACATTAAAATAGCCAAGTAGAACATTTCCCTTGCCCCTACAGTATTCTTGTTCTACAAGTCTGTCGTGGTTTAAACCCAGTCAGGTAACTTGTTCACTCACTCCCAGTGAGTGGTGCCGAGCTGACAACAATCGAGGTCCGTGTCCCCCCCCCACCAGGGTTCTCCCCCACTCCCGGGGGAACGGGGAGGAGGATCGAAAGAGTGCAACTCCCACGGGTTGAGACAAGAACAGTCCAGCAATTAATGTACACAAATCACCACCGCTACTATCAACTACAACAATGATAAGGGAAAATAACAAGGGAAGAGAATACGATACCACCGGCCAAGAAGACGAGTTCCACCCCGAAAGCCCGTGTCCTTCCAGGTAACTCCCAGTCACCCCCCACCCCGGCCATGACGTGCTGTGGTATGGAATACCTCCCTGGCTAGCCCGAGTCAGGCGCCCCATCTCTGCTTCCTCCTGGCTTCCCCTCCTCCCTGGCAGAGCATGAGCCTCACAAAGTCCTTGGTCAGGGTAAACATCACTTAGCAACAACTGAAAACACCAGCTTCACCAACACTGTTCTCAGGCTGGAAGTCAAAACACAGCACTGCACCAGCTACCACAAAGGAAAAAACATGACTGCTACTGCTGAACCCAGGACATTGTCCACCCCTTATTCCATACCATTCACGTCGTGCTCAGATCCCACATTTTCAATACACCATCGCTCTCCCATTTATATACATCCATATACATACAGACCAAGAGAAAAAGATCATTTTCTTAGTGCATGGACCAATCCCTATAATGCTGCCGAGTCCATTCGGTCCATGATGTTCAAAGTTCATTTTCTGTTGGGATGATGGCTGGAGGGAAGTCAGGGCCAGTCGCTGGTGACCTGGAGACATCTAGTTGATGGGCTATAAAAGCATTACACAGCAGGCAACGGCATACAATTGAGTTCACTGGCTGTTTTCCCCTAAAATCAAATCCCCTTGAGGTATACATCGGACTTCCCCATCTTCCTGCATTACCCACCAAGTATATCCAGGTCCCTGAGCAAAAGCAATCCCACGAGTGGGTTTGCCTTTACCTGAAGCAGGAACAACCCAGACTGTCTTCCCCAGCAAATTCTTCATATGCACCATGGGAACTTTGTC